GTAGTACCTGCTATTTGCGAGACACTGTACTAAATGCTTTTTACAAATATTATCTCGTTTGATCCTAAGAACAACTTTACATTTGAGGAAACTGAGGCAAACCGAGGTTAAGTAACTTGCCCAGGGTTCATACAGCTATTAAGTTTCTAAGGCCAGATTTGAGCTTTAGTCTTCTCAACTCCAGGCCCAGGACCAGCATTCTATCTACTGCACCACCAGTGCCTCTCGTGAGGCAGAAGACAGTGAGTGTGGGTGAACAGTAAAGAACAGGAGGGAGAATGTTGCTGAAGAGTGAGGGAACTATGCTGCCTGAAAAGGGGGATAATTGCATATTAGGGAATACTTAGCGTGACCAGTTGACCCAGGAAGGTTGGGTGCATATGGTGGAGCATGAGTTTTCCTGGAAAAGTAGACAGTGAATGAACAATCTGACAAGACAGACAGACATGTTTATGGGGGACAAAGTGGACTGTTTTTGCTAAATAAGAAAGTCTACTTTAGAAGAAAATGAATGGACCAGTCTAAATAGAAGGGTGCAAATTGTGAGAAAGTATGTGAACCATTGGGCTGGAGAGGAAGGTAAGTGCATTCTGGGAGACAATGAGTGGAACAGTTTGTCTAGAGAGAAGATGTACATGAAGGAACCATGATTGAGTCAGTTTGACTGGCAAGAGATGGGGTCACAGGATCACAGATTAGAGTTGGAAGGAACCTCAGGGGCCATATTAATTAATTTTTAAAATGGAATTGTGTAGATGGAGAAGGTTGGTGCATGTTGGGGGATTGTTATTGGTCCGTTCAGGATGGCTAGAGAGGAGGATGTCTGTGCTGGAGTACAATAGATGGACTAGTATGGCTGGACAGGGAGGCATATTGGAGGACAATGAGTGGATCCATTGCTCTGACACATTATTTCATGTGAAAGAACAGTGAGTTATAAGCCAATCTGCCCAGAGCGGGGATTGCCTTGGGGGGACATTGAGTGGAATACTTTAGTGTTGCTGATACACATGTGAGAGAATGGAAAAAGAGAGGTCTCATCTGGGTGTAATGTAAGAGCATACAGGGGACAGTAATTGGACCAATGTGGCTGAAGAAGAGGGTAAATGTTAGGTACAGGAAGTGGGCAAGTCTTTCTGTAATGGTGGGTGCATATCAGAAGGGAGTGACTATATATCTGGCTGTGATAAGGATGCATGTCTAGGATGGTGAATGAGTTACACAGTTTGAGAGGAGAAAAAAATGTAAATTTGGGGAACATGACTGAATGGCAAAATCAGACTAGAGGATGAGGGATTCTTCTTTGATTAGAGAGAAGAGTGTGCCATGTTGGAGGAATGTGAAAAGGGACACCTCTGGCTGGAGGGTTGGGTCTGTAGAAGACAGCAAATGAACCAGTCTGCTTAGGGACTCATGGGATGGTTCATGAGGGATGTCATCCATCTGAAAAAAGATACATGTTAGGGGCAGCTAGGTGGCGCAGTGGATAGAGCACCAGCCCTGAAGTAAGGAGGACCTGAGTTCAAATTCTGACCTCAATTCAAACACTTGACACGTACTAGCTGTGTGACCCTGGGCAAAGTCACTTAACCCCAATTGCCTAAAAAATAAAAAAAATAAAAAAATTAAAAAGATACACGTTGTGTAAGAAGTGGACCAGAAAGTGGACCCTAAGGAGGGTACCCTTTAGTGGAGAGTAAGTGGACAAGCCTGTCAGAACAATAAGTCCAGGACAAATAGTGAGTCAGGTTGCAAAGGAAGATTCATTCAAGGGAAAATGAGCGAGTGTACTAGTCTATTGAAAAGAGGGTGCTTGTTAGGACAGTAAATGGACCACTGTAACAGGAGATGTTGTATGGTTAAGGGAAAGAGAAAGAAAGATATGTGTTAGGAAACAATGAGTGGACCAGTCTGACTGAAGAGAAGCATTTACTTCAGGAAGACAGTGAATAGACTGACTTGGCTGAAGAAAGGGTATGTGGGGTAATAATAGAAACACTGTCTGAAGAAAAGGGTACATCTTGGAAAACAATAAGTGGACTTGTGTGGCAAGAGAAGGGTATCAAAGCTGGGGGACAATGAGTGGATGTGTTTGATTGGAGAGTATGAATTTGGGGAGAAACTGAGTGGACCAGCTCAGCTCTAGAGGAGGGTACGTATTTAGGGAGGGTGAGGAGACCAGTTTGGCTAAAGAGGAGGCTATTTGTTGGAGGATAAGCCAGTCTGACTAGAAAGGACTATTGAGAGTTGGGAGACAGTGCGTGCATTGTGCTGTCTAGATAGGACAGTGCATTATTGGGGGACAATGAACAGTCCAGTTGGACTTAAACAAAAGTTACGTGTTGGGACACAATTCATGGACCAGTCTGTTTGGATAAGGAGGTTTTGGATATTGGGGGACAGTGAATGAAACATGTTGAATACAAAGAAGAGTGCATATTTAGGAGGAAGTGAATAGAATAGTGTGGCCAGAGATGAGGTGCCAGTAGGGGACAGTTAGTGAGTGGGCCGATTTGCCTAGAGAGGAAGGTTCATATAAAGCAACAAACGATTAGATGTTGTAGGTCCAGAGGACTTAACGTTTGGATTTTGGAGAGGTAATCAGTCTATCCTGCCTTTCCCTCACCACTTAATAGCAAATGCCTTCTAAATGGATGGTTATCTAGATCATCCATTTGCCAGCACACAAAGACTGCCCTGGAACAAAACTTAGATATCCTCATGAGATTTATTGAAGGCTATTTTTTAAAGTCAGCTGAGACCACAGAAGCCTTTGATGCAAGGCACTACAATTTTCCTAGGCATTTCTAGGAAGTTTGCATCTCACTGTGAGGCTGTAAATCAAGTCTCATATCAACTATCCATGTCACATAGTGTCAGCATCCTCAGATCAGTTGGTAAGAAGCAGCAGCAAGAAAGGGCTTCCCATATTTCCTTGCAATGTTTCTTCTCTGATGACGGCTGGTGATGTTTCACCAGTTTTATTGCTTTCCAGGGATTCTAAGGCAATGATTGGTGAGGAAACAAGGTATTATCTGTTGCTTCTGCTCTCAAATCTATCCTTTGGGATGTTTGAGAATTAGAATTAATTGAAAAAGGGAAAGAGGGAGAAAAGGAAAGTGGGAAGGTCTGATTCACCCCTTGGCTAACTTTGTAAATATATTGGACCTGTTTGGGGGGTATTGGTTGGGGTCTGTGATACTTCTTATCTATAAATTTCCCAGAGTCCAAGAACCCAAGGTTTTGCACAGATGGACATAGTCTATACAACTACAGCTCCTTGGAAGTTTGGGGAAAAAACTTCTCAAGGCTCAGGAGATAATGCAAGCTTAGCAAATGGCAAATAAACCATAGCACCATTAAATGCATTATTGGCCTGAATTTTTTTTTTTACTTAATTTCAATTTTCTGGAGCCGATCTCCAAACTTTAAAGCATGTTAGTGCCATATACAGTAGGTGGAGGAAACATTAACACTCACTTGGGGCTTTTGTCTAATATTTCGTATTTAGAGTATTTTGCATCTATGAGATGATTTAGGAATTAAGGGTTCTAAAAAAGGACCCTAGAATAATGGGAAAGTCTAGATATAGAAGAGAATGCATATAGGAGGTTAATGAGTAACTGAATCAGTTTGGTCTTTCCTAGTCCCTCCTCCCCCACCCTAGCTTTTGGTGCCTTCTCCTTAGAGATTCCTTCATCTAATCTGTATTTATCTTATGTGTTCCCACTTATTTTCATGGTGTCTTCTCAATTAGAACGTGAGATTTTTACAAGGGAGAGGGAGGATAGGCATTGTTTTGTTTTTACCTTTCTTTGTATTCCTAGTCTTGGCACAGATTTAGCACTGAATATATAGTATTTGATTGATTGGGTGGATAGAAGGATGCATGGTTGCGGTACAGAGACTAGACAAGTCTGACTAGACAGGAAGATATACTGCTGGGGGACAGTGAGTGTAATTCTCTGGTCAGAGAAGAGGTTCGGGGACATCATTAATGTACCCAACTGGCTGCAAAGTAGGGTGTATTTTGGGAGACAATGAGTAGACAAGTCAAGCTGAAGAGTTACATGATGGTTGGGGAAAACTTGGGGGAACAATCTGACTGGTGATGAAGCTACATGTTAGGGAACAGTGAGTGGATCATTCTGGCTGATGGGTGTGGTGAAAGCTGAGAAACAGTAAATAGACCTATCTGGCTGTGGGGATCCATAGAAGGGATAAGGAGTGGTTGGACAGGAAGGTGCACATTCAGGGACAGAGAATAAAACAATCTGACTGGAAAAGAGGAAGGATTGGTGGGGACCATTAAGTGGTACACTTGGACTGGAGAAGAGGGTGTGTTTGGGGGTACAATGACAGAATCAGTCTAGCAACAGAAGAGGGTTCATGGGAAAGACAGAGTAACTAAATCAGTCTTGGCTGAAGAGAAAGATGTTGGAAGATTTTGGGTGGAACAATCTGGTGGTAAAGATGGCATATATTAGGGGATATTGAGTGGACTAGTCAGTCTGGAGGGAAAGATGGTTTCTGGGAAGGGATAGAGAGATCAAATTTTGGCAAACTGTGGATAATGCTATAGCCCAAAAGCATTCCTAGGATTCGTGTCAGTAAAAGAATCTGGGGGTAGAAAGAAGGGAGGAAGGTGGCCTATGTTTGAATTCCTGTGTGAACATAATGCAACAATATAATGGAGATGAATAGAGGACAAGACCCCTCCCAAGGTCTAGTCAAGCTCATCTCCAGAAAACTAAACTAAGACACACATTATAAAGGGCCCAGACCACCCTCTTGGATTGGTCTCTCTTGAGACACCCTCCTACTAACTAGAAATGGCCTGGGGCCCAAACAGTCCCTGGGACTCCAAGCCTCCCAGAGACACCACCCCTTGCCCTGACACACACTAAGAATGGCTCTGAAAGGGAACAAGTGGATACCTGTTCATATCCACACACTCTCTGACTTGATTTTCCATGTCTCCTTCCCTATGGGGTTACCAGGATGATACCCTCAAGCAGAGCTTCCTAGAGGCAGTCCTGTTGCTGGTGGGGGCCATCAGCAGGAACGAGGGGGCCCACAGTTATGAGTTCACCCAGGTGCCTGAGCTCATCAACAGCCTACTGGTAAGTGAACGGGTATGGAGAAAGAGAGAAGATCAACAGTGGGACAGGGAAAACTAGGATACAAGTCCCTGGAATGGCCCCTGAACCTGTATAAATGTGGGCAGTGTCAAAGGATCATAGTATTTAGGGCTGGAAGAGACCATACAACACATTGCATCCAACCCCTTCATTTTACAAATGACAAAGCCATGGCCTAAGCAGGACAGCTGAAATGTGAACTTAACTTCTCTGATTCCAAATCTAGCACCCTTACCACTAACCTATGGTATTTGTGTCTTCCACAGGGGCTAGCTTCCAATAAGAATGAGAACTATGAAAAGCTGGTTTTTCTAAATATGCACCAGCATTCCTCACCTATGCTGCCACCCCCACCATTTTGTTTTTCACTTTTCAACTAATGACTACATATCCCACCTAGACAACCACAGTTCCCAAACTCAGAATTCATCCAGCCCTACAACTTTCACCTCAAAAGTCCAGATAACACAAGGAAGCATGAATGGAATCAAAAAGCATTCCTTGGTAACCCACGGGATGCCTTGTACTAGAAGTCCTAATATATTAAGGAAAACATCCTAACAATGACAGCCATCTAACAGTAAGTTCCCTATCACTGGAAGCCTTCATCAGAGGCTAGGTGCCCAATCAATCAAGCAGTCAGCTAGCATTTCTTAATGACCACTTGACAAGAATGTTGTAAAGAGGATTTCTTTCCAGGTATAGGTTTGACTAGATGCCCTCTGAGGTTGTTTCTTACTCTCTGATTTTTAATACCCTACTAGATACAGTCAAAATAGCCTGGGACCTAACACACACACACACACACACACACACACACACACACATTTTCCCCATCACTCATCTCGGATTCAGCAGCCCCTTTTCTAGGACCACTTTCCTTTTCTGAAATGATGTCCTGCCCCTAGTGACGATCCAGTAGTAATTAGGCTGCTAAGGGGAAATTTTGGAGCCTCTCTGTGAAGTCCATTTGAGAGGGTACCTAAACGAGAATTCTCCCTAGGATGTCTCAGTCTCCTCATCTGTAAAATGGGAGATAGGACCAGATAGCCTTGAAGGTCTGTTCCAGGATCTGTGATCCTATATCCTAATTGCTGACAATCATGAGGCTAGGAATTGTGCCTTAGCTAAACTTTGCACACAGTAGGTACTTCATAAATGTCTGTAGTATATAAACTTGAATTCTCCCCTCTCTCCTATTCTCTACCTAACTGAGCTCTGGCTTCTTCAGTTTGTTGGTCCCTGGGCATGTTTGTTTCACAGAGGATCACTCTGAGGAACACTTGGAGGAACAGATTTTGAGGATGGAGAACAGCAGTAGGGAATAGACGTGTCCACCTGACCAAGACAGGGAATGTCCAGAACTCCCCTGGGAGGTTTTTAGGAGGGAGGACAGTCTCCACTTTGGTGGGGTTGGGAAGAAGGAGTGGAAGAGGAAATCTGTGGTTGAGGCTAGGCGAGGGCTTGGTTCACTGCAGGACACACCAGTTTCTCTGTACAGGGACCTAGAAGTCTTGACCCTATTTCTAATTCTTTATTTCGGGGACTCACAGGTGCTGATGAAGAAAGAACCCCAGGACACTCTCTGTACCACAACTCGACAGCAGGTCATGTGCGCCATTTCAGGACTTTGGTAGGTTCATCCTGTCCTCCTCAGAGTGATTCCCAGTGAAACCAACATGTCCAGGGACCACCAAACTGAAAAAGCCAGGTCTCAATTAGATGGCGGATGGGAGAGAGGGGAGAATTCCAATTCATATCCCGCAGACATTTATGAAGTACCTACTGTGTGTGAAGTTTAGCTAAGGCACAGTTCCTGGCCTCATGGAGCACGAATGGCTAGTATCGTGATAAGATATCAGCAGGGATAAGAATAGCACACTATGTCGGGGTTGGGGGGGGGTGATGCATTTCAGAGGTGCAAGTGAGAGGCCACATGTGGCCTCAAGGCCGCAGGTTCTCCACTCCTGGCCAATATTTCATTCTCTCTTCTATTAGGAACTTCTATTGCTTGGTTTATGTTCCAAGTTTTTAATTGGATTTTCTCCCTCTCAAAATCTTTATGTTTCCCCAACACTTTCTAACTCTTCTTTTGATGGTTATTGGTATAATGGTATGGTAAAACACATCTTTTGGTGTGCTCAGGGCTGGAGCACAAAGCTCTCAGACTTGGCACTAATTCCATTGTCTTTTTCTTCTCTATTTGGTCCAAATTTGATTTTTTTTTTACTGCAACTCAAATTGTACTCACATTCTTTTGTTTTTCTGATAACCTCACAGCAAACTGAGGCCAGTGTTGGACTTTAAAAGGAAATCCAAGATTCTCTTCACTTGCTTCCAAAGTGTGTTTAAACTCCCCTTGGTGGAGGCTCTGGAGAAGCACACCTGTCTCCTCGCAGACCCTCCTGACATACAGGTGATCGCACCAGCTGTTCTCCATTGGGGGGGGGTGTTCAGCAGAGGTGGATGGCCAACTATCTAGCATTAGAAGATTTATCTTCACCTCCCATCATCAGGCTCCAAGCATTTTTAGAACAAAAACACCCTAAGAAAGAGGGAAAGATTGTGCTTGTGCTCTCAAAAACAAAGCTATCACTGACCTTGTGACATAAAACACAAGTTATACAATATCAGACCTAAAAGAAACATTACCAATGATCTCTTCTAACTGTCCTCATTGTATATCCTGAAAATGGCCCCTAAGTGAAGGCCAGGAAGGGTGATATACAAATAGGAGACACTAGACCATAAATATATGGCCAAAACACGAAGTAGCAAAACAAACGGAAATGCCTTTATTTGGCTCAAGTCAACCCCGACCTCTTAGTCCTTGTCCAAATGAGACCCTGATCAAGGCTACCTTTGGTACAACCCAAGACTCCCTCACCCTTCTGACTTTAGTTTCTCCCCTTCTAGAAACTCTACATGGACACCATGACCACCTTAGATGAGCTTCTCCAGAGCTTAATCACAGAGAATCCCAAACCAGAAGAACTTCACTGCATGCTAGGGGTAACCCAGGTTTTGGTGGGGGGTGGAGGGAAACAGGTTTATGTGGGATACCATCCACTGAACCCAGGAGGATAGGAGACTATATCTGATCTTTTAAGTTACCACACATTGTATCATCTGTTCTTGGCACATATTAAATGCTTATTAGACATTTTTTCATTCATTTGTGGGATGATAGTGTGACTGAAGATCAGGACACAAAGTTTATTCTAGGTTCCATTACCATTGTGATTTGGTAGGATGTAAAGTCAGAGAAAAATAGATGTTTTAGCTTTTTAAAAGTCAGAGCTGAAAGGAAAAATAGAATGCAGAACATATTTAGTAAAAGCCAAAATGAACTTAAAATATAGAACATAAAAAGATAGCTCTAATAGGAACCTTAAAACAGAATATGAGTACAAAAGGACTTTAGAACATGGAATGTCAGAACTAGAAAGATCCTGAAATACAGAACACTAATGTGCATGCTGGAAGGACCCTTACATTCCATCTAGTTCAATCACTTGTTTTCAGAGAAGGAACCTGAAGCCTAGTTAGGTAAAATGGCTGAGCATGACTACAGTCACATGGTAAAACCTGGACATTGACTCAGGTCCTAAGGTCAGGAAGAAGATCGGGTTTAAGTAGTAAAGGGATTTACTCTGTGTCATACTTGGTGAATTTGATGTGCCACTAGCAAATGCAGATATAAATTTCTAGCGCACAGTCAAATACGGGTGTGGAATTTAGGACTGAGGTCATGGTTGCAGACACGTATTTGGTAGTCATATACATAAAGGTGATCATTGAAGTTATCACCTTTAGTAGATAAGAGTTCCAAAGAACAATGGAGATAGAGAAGAGGGCTGAGATCTATAGTCTGTGGGAAGTCTATTTTTTTTAGGAGGAGGAAAAAAGAAGGAGGTGTCAGGGAGATGGAAAGAGAAGCTGGCATGGTACAGTTCCAGTACAAGATGAAAATATCCAGGAGTGGGAGCCAAATGCTACAGAAGAGACCAAAATGGTGGGGACTAAGAAAATTATGTGGGAGGTATAAGTATGAGGAAATTATCATTTCAAGGATACACTGGAAATTCTGAATTATCACCACCATCATCATCACTATCAATAAACACCCACCAATGATCATTGTATTTCTCATCATTACTATCACCCTCTAATCAACATCACCATTGTCACCTGAATCATCACTGTCACCATCAGCAGCATTATTGTCATTGCCATTGTATTCCCATCACCTCCAACAGAATCACTATCATTACCATTGTATTCCCATCATCACCATCAATATTTCCATTGCCATTACTGTATTCCCATCACCATCATTATAATCACCATCATTACTATTATATTCCAATCACCACCATCACTGTATTTCCATCACCATCATTAGCATCACCGTTGCCATTACTTTTACCATTGTAATCCCATCACCACCAGTATCACGATCACTATCGTATTCCCATCAACTTCATCAGCATCATTGTCACAATCATTACTATCACCATCCCCATGACTTCATTCGCCATTACTATCATTCTCATCATCCTCATCACCATCATCAAAATCACAATTTTATTCATCATAGTTACTATTATCACTTACACAAGACTATATTTATTAACCCATAATTAAATATAGTGTTGAGTTTGTTGCTATAATGAATGATAAGATAAAACTGGAAGGGAAGTTGGTATGGCCCAGAAGAACTAAGCCTGAAGGTCTCTGGCCTTATGGCCCATCTCTAACAATTTTACCAACACTGTCCTCCTAAGGGCTAGGCTCACACCACACAAGAGTCAAGGGTACACCTTCAGAATCCAACCTCGGGTTCAGCATCTTCAGTGCACCAACAATTCCCAGTGATAAAACATGTCAAATGATCTCTCCTCTTCTCCATTTACCTAGATACCACCCGTCTTTCAAAGTCTAGCACTAATCTCACTTCTGGCAGGAAGCTTTCCTTGACTCCTCTAATTGGGAGGGATCACTGCTTTCCCTAAATATGACAGAACTCTTACAATCTAAATCACCTGATCTTTCCCTTGATTACAATCTGTCTTGTGTTGATCTCTAGGGTCATAAAGCCTACTCCAATTCCTAGGACTAAGAACACAGATAAAACAGGATTGGGAATAAGAACATCTTTTATGTCTATATATACAGCAGTTTCTTCCACATTAGCCCCATGTAGGCTGCATTTTTTCCTCCAATTATTGTTTGTATAAAACCCAAGTGCAGCCCATAGTTTGTGCTGTTACAGCACATATCTATAACTTTTTTTTCTTTCACATAGATCCAAAAGCATGAGAGTATAATGGTAGGAAGAACTCTGGAGTTAGCCCTAAAAAAAAATCTGACTCCTAATCTCAGTTCTGCTTCTTACCACTTATGTGACCTTGGGCAAGTCACTCCCTCTCTCTAAACTTCAGATTTCTCATCAATAAAACTAGGGGGCTAGACTAGATGATCTCTAAGGTCCCTTCAAGTGGCTTTTATTTTAGGAGTTGACACCTATATTTGAACTGATATGTTACTTTTCTAACCATTTTCTCACTTGAGTGTTCTCAGAGGTAAGGCAAGGGGTTATCATCTCTACACTACAGATGAGGATACTGAGGCCCAGAGAAGTAAAGAGATTTTCCTCATATCTCTATGTTCTTTAAAAATTTACAAAAAAAAGTTTACGAAGTGCTCCCTATGAGATAGGTGCTATTACCCCTATTTCATAGAGGAGGAGACTGAGGCTCAAATAAGTTAAGTGACTTGCCCAGGGTCTCACAGTAAGTAAATATTAGAGATAGGAAGTGATCCCAGGCCTTCTGATGCCCAGTCAGTGCATTTCAATCATACAGCACCACATGATATTCCCTCAACATCAGAAATCCTTTTGTCAAGGTCCCTAACGAAGTGTCAGTTGCACCTACCCAAATATTAGTAAAAGCCAAAATGAACTTAAAATGTAGAACATAAAAAGATAGCTCTAACAGAAACCTTAAAACACAGAATATAAGTATATATATATATATATATATATGTGTGTATGTGTATATGTGTGTGTGTATAGTGTGTGTATATATATATATACATACACATACATATATATAGCACCTATCATTTGCCCCATTCTGTGCCCCAAGTAACATAAGGAATAGAAGAAAATAAGAAAATTCCCTCTCCTCTCACATAGTTCTACATTTTTCTACAGGAGACAAGAGACTCATAAAACAAGTAGAAATACAAAGCAGGCTATATGGTATAGTGTGACAGCAATCCAGAGAAAAGAAGACATCTCTATTACTTAGAGGAGCCAAGGAGAGCTTCCTAAAGAAGACAATGTTTGATCTGGGGTCTAATGGAGGATATAATTTGGATAAGTAGGGAGAAAGAGAAGGGAGATAGCTCCCACTGGGAGTGATGGGAGTAGGAGAGTAGATGCTAGTGTACCTTCACAGATGTTTCATTGGTCCCAATGGCTCTGTCCCATCTTCCCCTTTGTTCTCCCCTAGCACATGTACAGCTGGCTGGCCTCGGAGAAGGTTCATGAGCGTCAGCGGGCAGTTAGGAGCTGCATGGTTCTCCTCAAGTTTCTGGCCCAGAAAGCCTTCCTGGATGTGAGTACCACCATCACCTGACCCCTTCCCCAACCCTTCTTTACTGCATCCCTCCCTATTGCTCATGGTGATGTATAAGTGAGTTCTTCCACATTACAGATTGTAGGTGTAAAAGGAGCCCCAGAAAATAAGGCAATCCTAATTTCTATCTCCTGTCAGGACTACATTTGAAGGAGGGGGTAGGTCAGCCCGTAATTATACCTAAGGAGGGAGATTTAATACCTACACTGCACAAGCATTATAACTTTCATTAGCACTATTACATGATGCCATGCTGGGGGGAGAAATGGGGGGAACTACTATTGCAGAACTAGGCTTCCAATCTCAGGTCCTCTAACACCAAATTAATCGTTCTTTCCACTATGCCATACTCTCGACCCTTCTCTCTCTCTCTCTCTCTCTCTCTCTCTCTCTCTCTCTCTCTCTCTCTCTCTTCTCTCTCTCTCTCTCTCTCTTTCCCCTCTCTCTCTCTCTCCCTCTCCATATATCTATCTATGTATATATACATACATATATATATATATATATACATATATATATATATATTTACATACATAAATACATATATATAATGGAAAACTGTTATTGTATGTGGAGCAGGTTAGTTGAAAAGTTTGGATGATTCCAATTTTGTTGGTAATGTCCAAAGTTTGGGGCACGTCAGACTTAGGTCTCCTCTCCATCAGGCCAGATCGCTGTGTTGACCTTGGTCAAACTGATTTTGTACCACTTCTCTATAGCCAGTTTGATCTGATGTTTTTTGGCTTTAACATTTGCAAAGAACACCAGGGGGAAGGGGCATTCGAACTTCTTCACAAGAGACTCTGTGGTCAAGGGAAACTTAATGTTGGCATGGTAACCAAGCTTGTCTAGGGGGACTTTTCTGAGGGTATTTGGACTGTTTTTAAACCTAAAATGTCTTGGATTGCCAGAATGTGAAAGACATTTGGATTTTCATCTTTTGGGAGCAGAGCTATGAGCATCCTTCATCACTGCCTTCTTGGCCTTAGAGAACTTTTGACTTGGCTTCTGTCTTGGGAGGTACAACCACTTCCTTCTCTGACTTTGGATACCATCTTGGAGGAAAGAGTGCATAATACTACCTCTTGAAACACTGAAAATAAGTATCAGTGTTATAAGTATACTTTGGTTAAGCCCAAAGATAGATTTGAACATAGAGATGACTCCAATGGCTCTCTAATCTTATCATCTTATCAAAATTCTACAGATTTTGATCTATCTATGCCTGCCCAACTTGGATGATTCTTGAACAAGTCCTAATAAATTCACAAAAAATCTTGAAAGCCTCTCTTACTTTTCCATAACATCAGAAGGATATCAATGGAGCATTCAGGTTGTCCATGTGAGCTCTTGATCTTACCACATGGGCTTTTTAATACTGAACATTTTTAAATGACATCTTTTACTCTGTTCTCCTTAATCCCTTCTTTGTATTATTTCATAGACTACTTCCACTAGTCATGGTCTTCTCTGTTGTTCTCTTAGTGATAATCACATTTAATTGTTTGGAGATTGTTAAATTCCATGACTCATAACTATAAGATAATACCAGGAGAATACTGGTATTAAAGAGATAGGTCTTTGTTTCAAGGAGAAATTTGGAATCATTAAAAGAATATGGCAATTTCCCCATAGGTATTTCATCCCAGTCTCAGCTTCCTATTTAATTCTCCAGTTAACTGCCCAAGTACATTATACGCATACATGTATACATATATACACATATATAGATATATGTATGTTTGTATGTAAATGTATGTGGCATGTAAACATGTTTGTGTGTGTTTATGCATACATGTGGGTACATATAAACACATTTCTCAGAAGCTTTATAACTTGTCCATCTCATTTTATAACATATGTTGGACAATTATTCTTCATTCACTTGGTTTTTCTTATGGGAAGAATTAGGCCAAATTCTTGAGTAGTTATGAGCCTCATTCAGGAGGCTCTGTAATAGATCAAGAATTAATGTAACCAGCACAATATCAACCTTAAGCAGAAGCCCTCAGAAGAATATTACCATCTGTCTACAGGGCTTCCCTCTTCCTTTTGCACTTTACAGCAAAGCCAACACCTTAAATCTCCCTGTTTTATACCCCAATTGATATCTTCCCACTTGTTGGTATGTTACTTCACTCCCTGAAATTACTTTGTATTCACTACATACATTCACACATATATATATACACAAATAGACATATAGCTATATATTATGCATGTAGACATATAACTATTTATATGCTATAAAATGTAAGTTCTCATCCTGACCCCCACAGTAGAATGTAAACTCCTGTGGAAAAAGATTATCTATTTTTACCTTTCTATACCCCCAGCATCTACCATATATGTAGATGCTTAATAATTGCTCATTGAATTAAAGTGACTTGAATATTCATAATCAAAATCATTAAAGTCATTTCTGGGTTTGCTTCTCTCAACGATATTTGTCTGACTCTAATATCTATATGAAAGACACCTTGTTAGAGTAGAACTTTGGCGGGGGGAAAGCTGCATTTTGTTCTTTCTACATAAGCAAATATCTTCCTTTCTTTCCATTTTTGGTAATCATCAAACGTAGGAGAAACTTGTAATGACCTTTCAGTCAATTGTGTGACATTAAAAACAGAGGTCTCCGTAGGAACTCACCTTGCAAGGATTCTGGAATACTCCTCTCTCCACGCAGCCACCATCTCCCACTGGTGAGTTCTTCTGAGGACCTCCATTTTAAGGAGTGGTACAGGCCAGGCAACCTTCATTCCTTTCCTGGCTCTGCTTGCTTTCTAGACTTCTCTGCCATGCCTCAGCTGCCTTCTTAGCCAAGAACACCCCTCCACCCCTGTAGCCCCTTTCTCTCGTGGATGAATTCCTCCCACGACCTCCATTTTGAGGGAGGCTCAGGCCAGCCACCCTTCTTTCCTCTCCAAGGTCTGCTTCTGCCTCCATGCCCTTGCTCAGATAGTTCTTCCCTCCATTCCCTCATTCTGCGCTTTCCAAATCCCTTTCATGTGTTGTCTCCCCCCACTAGAACACAAGCTCCTGGGGACAGACACTGTCTTTTTGCTTGTACTTGGATTCCCAGCCTTTGGCACAATGCCTGCCACACAGGAAACACTTAGATTTGTCTTGGGGGGGGTGCTTAGGTGCATTTTAGGGGTGGAAAACTAGAACAAATAAATATCTCTAGGTGTTCCCTACCCAGAAAGTAGTAGGTCAATTGTGGAAAGAGCAATAATTTAGGAATCAGAAAGCCTGGATTCAAATTCTGAACCTCACCTATAAAATGAAAAGGATGAGTTAGATGAGCTCTTAGGTCCCCCGTTATGTTTCTCTTCTTTATTTTCCCTTGCCAGACAACAGAGGAATTTGGAAGAATTGGGCACATTGTGGGCATGCTGGGCATGTTATGTCAGGATCCAGACAAAGACATACAACAACTGGTGCTTGAAGCAATTAACTATCTCTACCAAATCCTCCTCCATCAGAAAGGTGATACCTGGCAGGACCCCTCATTTACTGACTCACCTTTCTATCTCTATGCCTCCTCCTACAGAATTACCATCAGTCCTAAACTCACCTCCGAACATTGAGCATGCCCTGACCAATGACCTTACTCCAACCATGGTAGTAATCTCTGTGACAACACACTATGTGACCATGATCTCATCCTAGAATACCTACCTACCCTAATCTCACCCACAGTCTAAATACATTTCTATCACTGACCCACCTCCAGTATCCCTGACCTCATCCTCCATACCAGCCATATCTCTCAGGCTTGATAAAACTAACTCCTGACCATGCCATCTCAGCCCTGACTTCATCCCCAACTTTGACCATACCATGGCCCTTACCAAATAACCAACCTTGAACTCACTATAAGCTGACCACAGTCCAGCTCTAACATTAATTCATTCATGATCATGTCCACTGACCTTGACCAAACACCCAAGCTTGACCACATCCCACCTTTGCATATATCCCCATCCTGACCTAACCTGATCCAAACCTGATTCCAACTCTGACCTCATACCTAGCCCTATATACACCCATCTCCCGCCATACCCTAATACCAACTGCATCCCCAGACTTGGCCCCTCATTGGCTATGCCCCAACCTTGACACTTAACTCTACTGCCAACTCTGAAGTAGAAATAGAGCCAACTAGAGTTGTTTTTTAAAGAAACAGCAGCCATTGATAATCATCTCTCTTCACCAGGCTTGAATGCACCTGACCTTTTCAGAAACATGGGGCAGAGTGAAGAAACCTGTCTGAGTCTGTCAGAGCAGGAACCAATACCCATGCCGGAGATTCCTCTCAACCCCAGCTCCCACATTATTAAGGTCAAAGCTCTCAAGGGACCAGCAGGGCAAAATAGGAGGGGTTGGCTTGGATCTTCTGGGATATTCATATCTCTTCTAGGTCAGCTAGAGGCCTTGCCTCCCAGCCTTTACTGAAGAGACAATGGTGAAGGGTAACACAGAAAGAATATTGGATTTAAAATCAGAAGTGGCCATTATTGTTGTTGTTCAGTCATTTCTGTCATGTCCAACTCTTTGTGACCCCATTTGGGGTTTTCTTGGCAAAGGTAATGGAGTGGTTTGCTATTTCCTTCTCCAGCTCATTTTACAGATGAGGAAACTGAGGCAATCAGGGTTAAGTGACCTGCCCAGGGTCACATAGTACGTAAGTGTCTGAAGTCAGATTTGAACTCAGGAAGATGAGTCTTCCTGACAGGATTTGGGTTCAAATGCCACTTCACTCTTATCACTTACTACCTATGTAACCTTAGGGAAATCACTTAACTTCCCTGGGCTTCAGTTTCCTCATCTGTAAAATGCCATCAATTCTTTGATGGGCACAGATACACTGTGCTTTATATTAAAAAAAAAGTCATTTTCTAAAGTTAACCTACAAGTCATGGTCTTTGGTGATGGGGTTACTAGCCTGGTAAAAGAGTGGAATTCTATAGACACAATATCGTGTGCCCAGATTTCAGCAAAGCATTTGACAGCTACATTATCCTTGAGAACAAAAATGGGTAAAGATGTAGGTTGGATGGTTGACAGCTAGGTACGCTTTGAAACTGTTTATGACCGAACCTAAAAAGTAGTCATTAATGGAGAGATGACAAGTTTGGCAGGAGGTTTCAGTGGAGAGCTTGAGATCTGTTTAACTCTTTCTCAATGATTTGGATTAAGGGATAAGGTACAAGAGCAGCTAGGTGGCCCAGTAGATAGAGCCAGGCCTGGAGTCAGGAAGATTCATCTTCCTGAGCTCAAGTACAGCCTCAGACACTTCGCTGGCTCTGTGACCTTGGACGAGTCACTTAATTTTGTTTGCCTCCGTTTCCTCATCTATAAAATGATCTGGAGAAGGAAATGGCAAACCACTCTGGTATCTTCACCAAGAAAACCCCAAATGGGGTCCCAAAGAGTCAGACATGACTGAAAGTGACTAAACAAAAAAAATCATAACAATAAGGTGTATGCTTATCCAGTTGGCAGACAGTACAAAATGAGGAAGGGGAGAATAGTTCAGGGGGTCCTCGTGTCATGGATTTAGAGCAGGAAGTGAGAAGATTTCAAACTATCATCAAGTCTAATGATCTCATTTTACAGTTTAAGAAACTGAAACCCAGAAAGGAACAACAAAGTGCCCCGGGTCACACAGGTCAAAAGTAATGGAGCGGGGACTTGAATCCAGGCCCTCTAACTCCCCACACCAGCATATTTCTTACAATAACACATTGGATGCCAGAGTCAGAATCCGAAAAGATTTCACCAACTTGAGCACTGAGCCAAATCCAATTAGGTACATTTTTTTTAGGCCAATTGGAATTAAGTGACTTGCCCAGGGTCACACAGCCAGTACGTGTCAAGCATTTGGTCTGAGGCCGGATTTGAACTCAGGTCCTCCTGACTTCAGGGCTGGTGCTCTATTCACTGTGCCATCTAGCTGCCCCTCAATTAAGTACATTTTTATTAAGGATCATTGTAAAGACCAACACTTGAGTTAAGAGAAAACAAACAGGTCCAGTGGTTTGATAGATCTAGGGTACAGATCAATCAGTGGGTAGAGAAAAAGCCTGGTTAGATAGGCCTCAGGTTCAGTTTAAGGTCTGTTGCCTGCTTAGAGTTGTTGTTAATAGTAGTATTATCATCATTATTATTTTATATCTTATAGTGGAAAAAGCACTGAATTTTTGGAATCAAGAGAACTGACTTCAAATCTCAACTCTGCTATCTACCTATGTGACCCTGGGCAAGTGGTTCTACCCCTCTGGGCCCCCAAACTTCCAAATATGTCCAAATGAAGTATGATACCTGAGGTCCCTAACAGTTCTAGATTCTATGACCCTATGAACAGTTCTAGGAACTAGGGAAAAGGGGAAAGGAACAAGCATTTATTAAGCACCTACTATGTGCAAGAAATGGTAAACCACTCCAGTACCTTTGACCCCAAATGGGGTTACAAACAGTCTGACAGTACTGAAAAATGACTCAACAAAAATGTGCCAGGCACATCTCACTTCATCCTCACAACAACCCTGAAAGGAATGCTATTATTATCCCCATTTTACAGTTGGGGAAACTGAAAAGAAAGAAATTAAATGACTCCCCAGGGTTACTCATCTAGGAACTGTCTGAAGCTAGTCTGAACTCAAATCTTCCTGACTCCAGGCCCAGCGCTCTATCCATAATGTAACCTAGCTTTGGAACACACAATTGCTGTGTCTAATCACTGAGGGTCCAGACATCAAATCTCTTGCCATCTGACCATCCAGACAAGCCCTTAATGTTAACCAGTCATAAGACATAGCTCAGGAAAACAATCCCTGCACTGAGTTAAGGGAACTGGTTCCTTACTCCAGCTCTGACACCAAATTGCTATGAGACCTTCGACTCTATTCACCAAAAGTTTCTGAGGAGCACCTACTAGGTTGTTCTGGATGGCCACTGGAGATGCAAACGCAAAGATTAAACAGTCCCTGGCCCTCTGAGAATTTACATTCTACTGGGGGAAATAAAATCTACCCAGATAAGTAAAGACGAAAATCTATTCAAAGTAAATTCACAGTAATTTGTTGGGGAGCAATAAGCAACAACTGGGAGCATCAGGAATGGCTTCTTGTAAGAGGTGGCCTTTGAGCTGAGCCTTGAAGGATGATGGGGATTCCATGGCATGCTGGTGAAGAAAGGGAGCAATCCAAGCACAGGGAACAGTCTGTACAAATGAACAAAAACAGGAAATGGAATACTATGTGCAGAAAGCAACAAGCAAGCCAATTTGGCTGGAAGACACATTTTGTGAAAGGGAATAACGTGAGATCAGCCTGAAAACAGAAGTTGGAGCCAGATTATAAAGTCCTTTCATTTCCACGTAGAGGAGCTTGTATTTTCTCTCAGAAGCAATAGGGAGCCCCTGAAACCTATTAAATAGAGGAGTACCATGGTCAGATGTGCACTTTAGAAATATCAATTTGGCAGTTGCATGAAGAATGGATTTGAAAGGAGAGGCTATACTTCAGTTATCAGACACAAGGAGATCAATTAAGATTCCCTTCAAAGAATTCATTTTAATAGTCCAGCTAAGAAATGATGAGAAGGACTAAACCATGGTGGCGGCTGTATACACAGAAAGAAGGGGACACATAGAAGAGATGCTATGAAAGTAGACTCAATAAGACTTTGACGACTGGTTGAATATGGAAGGAGAGTGGAGGGTTGTGGATGGCTCCAAGGTTTCCTATCTAGATGACTGGAAGGATGATGGCACCATTGAAAGAAATAGGAGAAAGTTAAGGAGAAAGTTGAGTTTGAGGGCAAAGATAATGAAGTTTAAGATTTCAATGAGACCTACCCAGTGGAGATGTCAGGCAGGCATTTGGTGATGGCGGACCTGAGCTCAGGAGTGAAAAAAGGGCTGAATGTGTTGATTTGGGTGTTACCTGCATAGAAATGATACTTGAACCCATGGGTACTGATAAGATCACCTAAAGAAGGTGTGTAGAAAGTACTAGAAAATAATGTCAATTCAGCAAAAAGACTGAGAAAGCTGTGTCAGAAAGGTAGGAAAATCAAAAAAGGGCAGGGTCATGAAAACCCAGAGAAGGAAGAATATCTTGGGGTAGTTGTTGGTATCAAATACTACACAAAGACCAAGAAGGATCAGGACTGAAAAGAGGTCATTAAGAAGTCATTGGTGAACTTTGAGAGAGCATTTCCAATTGAGCAGTGGGGTCAGAAGCTGGATATACAAGAGATTGAGAAGCAAGTAGGAGGTGAAGAATTGGAAATATCAAATACAGATGTAGACAAAGGCAGCTACATGGCACTGTGAATATATACTAGTTTGAGTCAAGTCTCAGATAGTGACCCTGGGCAAATCACTTAACCTCTCTAAACCTCAGGTTCCTCATCTGTAAAATGGGGACAATAATAATATCTACCTCCCAGAGCTGTTGGGAGGATACTAAGTTAATAATTATAAATCACTTTGCAAACCTTATAGCACAATATAAATGTATTATCCCTTTTATTATTAAATAGTGTCTTCTAGGATTTTTTACCTTAGGTTAGTCATTCAATTCTCTAGGCCTCAGATAAGAATAATCTTATCTATTCCACTTTCCTTGTGAATCAAATGAGACAGTGCTATAGAACTACAAGGCTATGAAAACTCTTCTAGATTTTAAAATGCCCTGCAAATATAAAACATGATCATTTTCTAATCAATCCAGAAAACCATCCTGGAAAAGGTGAGATTTCAGGGGCCATTTACAGATGCTAGGTAAATAAGGGAGTTAGTGAAAAGAGGCAGAGTTAAACCCAAAGGGAAAGAGGTTAGACTTTAGAGGGCCTGGGCATCAGCACCCAAAGGGCCGGGGGGTTACTGACGCCAGCGTGACTTGTTTCTTTTTGTCTGATGTAGGAGTTTTCGAGGCATTTCTCTTTGCCTCAGATGAAAGATCTCATCCAGACAGTGATGGATGGTCTAAGGGGTAACCTGGATTTCCGAATGGAAACTGCAGGAGATATGCTCATTGTCATCCTAGAAGATTTTGGGCCTTGGGTAGAGAAGGTATGAATGTTTAAAGGAGCAGGGACTGAATGAGATGAGCAGGACTGAGACACAGAGCCTAGAGTTTCCTCCTCCAAGAAAGGGAGCACAGTCTATGTCCTAAATAATAAAGTACTCAAATGAACGTGGTGGGTTGGATTGGAGGAGGTGGTACCATAAAGAGCCCTGGATTTGGATTTAGAGTCGAGGACCTGGGTTCAATTCCAAGCTCTGCTACTTATTACTTGTGTGACCTTGGGTGAATCACTTTCCACCTCTGTGCTTCCTCTGCAAAATGAGGAAGTTGTGTCTCTAAGGTCCCATCTGATTATAAATGCTATCATCCTTTGGATGGATCTCCAGGAGTGGACAGGAATACACCAAAATAAGTCCCAGGACACAAGACTGGTTTTTCCAAGAGGCTCAAGTCAATTGCTGCTGCCCCAGTAGAAAGTATAATTTACCAACCAATTAAGCATTGACTTTGGACCTGGTATCAATCAATTAGTAAAAATTTTATGAGTTCCTACTATGTGCTAGATATTGGAGACTCCAAAGACCAGAATTAAATAATCTCTTCCCTCAAGGAGCTTACATGCGCTCAGTCTCACACTCAGCTACAGTGAAAGGGAGACAAGAGGCAGAAAAGTACGTCCTGTCTGGCAGAGTTTGGGGGTTCCAGTCCAACAAGGGAAAAAACACACTCAAATATCAAAAAACTACGAGAGAACAGACAGTTAACTAGCATTTATTACATGCCACTCTATTCCAAGCACAGGCCTAATGTTGAAACAATGTAAAACAACAGAGGCTCAAGAGTTAGACTATGAGCTATAGGGTCTCTCTAGGAACAGAGAAATCAGTATGGACTGGAGTAATCAGAGAAAATGTGGGAAAACTAGAACCCCTGGCAGGAAGGACATGAGCCCAGATCATAATAATAGCTAGCATTTATACAGTACTTTCAGATTTGCAAAGCTCTTTATGTATGTCCACTCATTTAATCTTACAACAACCCTGCCCAGTAGGTGCTATGGTTATCCTTTATTTTACAGATGAGGAAACCGAGGCATAGAGCGGTTAAGTGATTTGGCTAGGATCATACAGCTTGTAAGTGTCTGAAGCTAATTTGAATTCAGGTCTTCCTAACTCTAGGTCCTGAGGGCTATTCACTATGCTGCCTACCTGCCTGGATTCAATCCTTCTCCCCCTCCCCCTTCCACCAGCTGTGCCCAGGTTTTCTTCATTTTCTTTAAATTAAAATTACTTTATGATAAAATACTTATCCTCTGAAATTCAGTGTAATACTCTATGTTTATTACTTCAGTTGAGCATAATTACTTCTCTGATTACAGATTCGAGCAAACCAGACCCCTGGCAGGAAGGACACCAGCCAGATGATAATAATAATAGCTAGCATTTATAAAACACTTTAAGGTTTGCAAATACCTGTGTTCTGAAATTCAATTTAAAACTCTCTTTATTAGCTCTGTGGAGCCTACGGAGCACTAGATTTGAATCCAGAGGGAGCTCAGCTTCACTCCAAGCTTACTTCTAATTACTGTTACAACCCTGAATAAGTCATTTTCATTCTCTGGTCCTCAGTTTCCAATTTCCTTTCTAACTCTTAATCTATGAGTCAGTATCCCTTTAGGTCCTCTAAAAAAATCCCTTATAAATTCAGTTCAACTTAAGTGAAAAGACATTTACCAAGATCCTACTAAGTTGAGGTCACTACATGCAAGAGGAAGCAAGATACAGACACAGATATAAGGCAACAGGAGGGGAATCATGTAGAGGAAATCTCCAAGCTAGAAGGGACTTTCAAAATCCCCTATTTAGTTGGGAACATCCCCGACATGCGGCATTCAGCCTCTGCTGAGGACCCCACGGCCCTTCTAGGACTAGGCCCCTTCCCTTTTGGACCATGATAATCGTTAGGAAGTACTTCCTGTGCCAGTTCTCTCTGGGGCCAAGTAGAATGAGTGGAATCCCTCTTCCACATGACAGTCCTTCAAATGCCTGAAAACAATGAGCAGGCCTCTTCTGTAAGTCTTCTCCATGCTAAACACCCCCATTTCCTTTTACCTGAGCTCACAACGCCAGATTTCAAGGCCCTTCAATTCGATTCAATTCATCAAATACCTATTAAGTCAAAGGACAGCAGGGTTTAGTGGACACAGAGCTGGTCTGGAAGTCAGGAAGATCTGGATTTGAGTCTCACTGAGTAAATCTCTCAGTGCTCTGGCCAGCTGACTTAAGTTTTTGGTAGAGGGAGTTTCCTCACTCAGGAATTTCCATTATCAATAAGATCACAGGCCCAGTCCCCATCTGATCTATTAAGGGGAATAAGCAATTATTAAGTGCCTACTGGGTGCTAAGAAGCATTGAATTTTTAAAAAATTATATCCCTACTCTCAAGGAGCTTATACTGGTTCCTGCCAGTGTTCTTGCAGATCTCTCATGAGATGGCACAATTGCCAGCCTGCTTGCCCACCTCCCATTACATTCTATCTTGTCCCCAACTTATCAATGTGATGTGGTGCGTAAATCTGGGCATAATAGTCCAGATGTGTGGGCAATATTCCAGATGTGTTCCAATCCAGGGACAAAGGACAGAGAAACACTATGTCTCTTAATACAGCCCTTCTCTCCTTGCTTTCTACCCCACTGTGGCTCCTTGGCAGAATGACAATCCCCAAGGCCAAAGGCCCCTGGAAATCTGAGGAACTCTTAAGTGAAACGTGATGTACCTGCACATAGACATTCCCACTCCCCCAATCTCCATAGCAATGCCCCTGAGGGGAAGGGTTACCTTTATATCAAACCTAAATTCACATCCTTGTAACTTCTGTCTTTGCTCCTAATTCTGTCCTCTGAGCCCAAGAAGTACATGTCCACCCTCTTCCACCTGACAAAATCTCTTAGGTTCCCTTCCTACTCTAAATCTATGACCCTATGGTCCCATGAAATATTTAAAGTCAGCTCCCATGTCTCCCCTAACTCTTCTCCTCTTTTGCTAACCATTCTCAGTTCTTTTCATCAGTCCCTCGTAGCACAAACTTGAGTACCAATCACTGCCTTGTTTCCTGCTCCATGTTTTCTCAATCAATAGATGAGAAGAGTACAAAGATAATGATTAGGGGTAAGGGTGGGGAGAGAGACCTATCTCGAATTTTTTATATTAAAAAGGGGACCCTCATATAGTTGAAAAAGTTGGAGATCCAATGTTCTAGCCCCTAGAGATGGTGGTCCTATAATGCCTTCAAGTGGACTCTTTCCCTTTCCTGGAATATTTTTCCTTCTCACCTCCATGTTTTTGGAATCTTTAACTTCTTTCAATGCTCCTCGGAGTACCACCTCCCATAAGAGGCCTTTCCTGATTCACACCTCCATCTCGTGTTTTTAGAACGTGGAAATGACTTCACATTTACTTTGTAGGTATTTTCTATTAGCCAACAGCTATGTATGAATAGTTCCCCACCCTTCATTCCTAATGCCACATAGAACGGAAGTTCTCTGAGGGCAGAGACTGCTTACATTTTAGTTTCCATCTCCAGAGCCTAGCTAGCACAGAATCTGACAAACACTAGGCTCTGGATAAACCAGGATGCTGAAGGGCCTTCAGTTCATGGCATGTAAGGATTGTCTAAAGGAACTAGGGGTGATTATTTTGGAAAGAGAATACTTAGGGAGGATGTGTTAGTTGCCTTTAAACATCTGAAGGACTGCTATGGGAAAGAGGGGTTTGATTTGTTCTGTTTGACCCCAAAGAGCACAACCAGGAGTGATGGTGGAGGTTACAGAGAGGCAAATTGAGGGTCAAAGTCAGGAAACATTTCCTAGTAATTATTAGAGCTGCCCAAAAGTGGAAGGAGCTGCCCCAGGGGTGGCTGGGTTCTTCCTCTTAGGAGGTTTTCAAGCAACGCTAGATGAGCACTCAACTGGTACATTACAGTCCAAATTTCTTTAATATTTGGATTGGACCAGATGGCAGTTAAGATCCCTTCAAACTCGTAAATTCTGTAATTTTGCGAAATACTTGCTGAATTGAATTTCCTACTTTTGCTAATGGGGCTACCACAGAGGCAGCTAGGTAATATATTCAAATAATTGTTAGCTGTGTGACCCTATACAAGTCACTTGATCTGTGCCTCCCTTAGTTTGCTCATCTGTAAAATGAAGGTAAGAGTATTACCTACCTTCACCATTGTACATAACAGATTTGCAGTTTCATGTGCAATCATCTTTTTTTATTATACTACATTATAAAAATGCTTGTTTTGTTTCCTAAGTTAAAAATAAAATAATTTTTAAAAAAAAAGAATAATACCTACCTCCCAGAGTTGTTGTAAACATCAAATGAGATAATAGTTATAAAGCACTGAGCATAGTGTCTGACACACAGTAAGCACTTATTAATAAATGCAGCTAGGTGGTGTAGTGGATAGAACACTGGGCCTGGAGTCAGGAAGAACTGACTCCAGTTCTCTAAAACCAGCCACAGACACTTACTAGCTATGTGACCCTGGGCAAGTCACTTAACCCTGCTTGCCTCATTTTCCTCCTCTGTAAAAATGAGCTGGAGGGGGCAGGTAGGCGGCACAGTGGACAGAGCCCTGGCCTTGGAGTCAGAAGGACCTGAGTTCAAATCCAGCATCAGACACTGGATATTTCCTAGCTGTGTGACCCTGGGCAAGTCACTTAACCCTGACTGCCTCACCAAAAAGAAAAAAAAATGAGCTGGAGAAGGAAATAGCAAACTATTCCAATGTCTTTGCCAAGAAAATCCCAAATGGGGTCACAAAGAGTCAGACACAACTGGAAACAACTCCCCTTCCCCAACCATTCATTTGGTTCATTCCAATTGCCACTAGCCACCAATGTTTAAAACTTCCTTTTTGACTCTTCAACTCCCTCCACCCAACCAGTCACCAAGTCTTTTCAATTCTGTCTCTGCCATGTCTCTCCTACTCATTTCCTCTGCTTTTCTTTTCCTTCTCCCAGGTTTCAGATATCAGCCAGATCCTCTATTGCCACTTTACCTCCACTGACTCAGTGAATGTCAAGAAAAAAATCCTGAAGGCCATCACCTTGCTGTCTAGATACCACACCCAGGAACTAGTGAACTCCTTCCTGAAGTATTCTCTCCCACTGGACCGGTACAAGGGGCATGTCAGGGATCCCAGCCTGGCCAGACCTCAGCAGGGCTGTGGAGCTAGCTAAGTTTGCATGGTAGCAGTATTCAGAAATCTGTAGCAAGAGCCTGTCAAGATGCCTGGCTATCTAACAGAATGCTTGTATGACCTGGCAAGGCACTTCCCTTCTCATCCCTCAGTTTCCCCTTCTGCAAAATGGGGGCAATAATCCTTGTGCTAGCCCCATCCCGTTTGTTGTTGTTGTAAGCAAAGTGCTTTGTACACCTTAAAAACTCTAGGAAGAGGAGGTTTTAATATAATGAATGGAAAAGCAGTTGTAAGGTATCATTCTCTTTAGTGTTCCCAGACCCCACCTTCCTAGTTCTGTGATGTTCCCTCCCACCCCACTTTCCAGAGTCCTCTGCTAGAGGCTAAGGGGGATTCACAGAGAAATATAACACACAGTTCCTACTCTCAAAGAGCTTTCAGACTAGTGAGGAAAGCAAGACTCACTCACTTAAAACAGGATAGTCTAAGGCAATGTAACATGGGATTTTTTCAGTTGTACCATAATAACATTAATTATTATTTTAAGTGTCATAATATTGATATTAATAATCCCTCCCATTTTTTAGAGCACAGGTTTTCAGGAGCTCTGTGAAGTAGGGAGTGTAGGTATAACTACCCCCATTTGAAAGACAGGGAAAACTGATACTATAGGTCCAGGGGTCATCGGTCTAGATATGGAAGGTATCTTAAAGTTCATCTAGGCCATCACCCTTATTTACAGATGAGGAAACTGAGTCCCAAAGAGGATAAGTGACTTACCCAAAATCACACCACCAATGTTAGACTCAGGATCAAAAGCCAGGTAGCATGTACAGATCAGACCATGGCAGGACAAGAGTGAAAGGAAGGGGAAGATAAAGGACTCAGGGGTCAGGGAAAGTTGCCTGGAGGATGTAGCATTGATTTCAGTCGGGCATTATGGGGTAGGGTCTGTCTAGGCCTAAATGACCTAAATTGAATTGTACATGTTCAAGAGATGGTAAGGACACCAGGTCTAGCTGGCACCATGGGTTGGTATTGGAAAGTAGCAGCCACTAAAGCCAGAAGGGTAGATTGTGACCAGTTCTGGAGAACCTGGAATGCCAAGCTAAAGAGTTCAGACATTATCCTATAAGATAGAGTTCTCCAGTCCTTTAATGGGGAAGTGTAATAAATAAAACACATTTATGACTATAAATGTGAGAAGCTGCCATTTATATCTCGGAGTCATGCTGTCATTGGGCAGTGGAGGATGGTGGGCAGAGGGGATAACTGAGGGGATAGCCCCCAGAGTCCCATGTTGAGCTTTTTCATTTGAACAACAGACCTCAATCCATTGCTGGGGAGGCCCCTGCCCTAGGCACTGGGAAATCTTTAAAAGTTATAGTATCTCTTAGGAAAGGAGGGTCAATTAGTCCTAAGGTCATAGACCTATTATAGACCCAGAATTTAACAGAGCAGGGTTACAAGGCTAAGGTCAAATACCTTGAAGGCAACATAGTGCAGTGAAAAGAGTATGCTGGATTTAAAATCAAAGGATCTGAGTTCAAAATACCATTTTTTAAGATGTGTGACCTTGGATAAGTCACATGACCTCTCTGAGCCTCAGTTCTATTATCTATAAAATGAGGGGGCTGGATCTGCGTGGTCACTTACGGTTTTCTGTCTTTGATCTATGAGCCATGAAACAGACCACAGCCAGGGCCACACTGGCCAAGTTCAGGAAATGTTCTGGTCTCATCCCAGAGCTCTGGGGCTCCTTATCTCTCAAATGAAGGAAGTGGATTAAATGCCTTCCATGTCCCTTCTGGCTTGAAATACTGTGATCCATTGATTTAGTGGAGCAGAGTATAGAGGATTAGACTTGGAATAAGAAAGATCTGAGTTCAAAGCTTTGCATTGGATATAGGAAAAAGTTCCACACTTCAAAAGCTTTCCCTTGACCTGGAGGGAAGGGTACAGAGTTCAGAATAAATTTAAAGTTAGAACAAGTCCCTGCCTGAGGCCCCAGTGAGGGACCTGGGGTTAGGAATATGTGTTAAGGACCAAGCTAACTCAAATAATTTACTGCCACCTTCCCAATTCTTGCAATTTTTGGCAGTGAAACCATCAACATTTGGCGGGCCATGGGGTTAGAGAAGCTGACTGCCCCCAAGGTGCTCCATGTGCTGCTCACCAAGCTACAGGAGCGGCCACGTTCAGCGGAAGTCACCAAGACCAAGGAGACTGAACTCTACCTGGATTCACTAGCTGTAAGTTGTAAACAAGGGATCTTCACGACGCCCTTAACTTCTCTCTCTCTCTCTCACAGACACCAATCAGTCAATTAATAAACATTCATTAAGCACCTCCTATGTGACGGGCACTGTGCTAAGCACTGGAGAGGCAAAAGACAGTCCCTGCCCTCAAAGACTTTACAATCTAATGGGGGAGATACATGCAAACAAATATATACAAAGCAAGGAGCCACTTGGAATTTCTCTCCCTCATATCATCTTCACAAAGAAAGACAAGGCTTGTAACCACCTTGCTTGGCAATCCAGGATTAACTGGCTTTGGGGGAGAAGGTATGGTATACATACAAAATGTCAGAACCAAAGGGCCTGCATTCAACTCCCACTTCTGACACTACCTATATGGCCTTGGCAATTTTCTTGGGCCTCAGTTTTCTCACTTATAAAATGAGGGAATTGAACTAGATGGCCTCCTGAATCAGGGAGATCGCCAGATTAGGAGTTAGTGATGACCCAGCACCCTGTGTTTCCAACATAGTCATTCCAAACTTTATGGTTGGAAAACAGCCTGATGCATTGGAAAGCACTGCCCTCAGAGTCAGAGGTTCTATTAGCTCTGGGTGAATCATTGGGCAGATGTCTTAACTTCTCTAAGCCTCAGTTTCTCCATCTGTAAAAGGGGAATAATAATACACGTGCTATCTACCTTAGAAAAATTTTCTGAGAGAAGAGCTTCAGAAACTTTACAAGCACCATAGGAACACTCATTATTGTCCCATCAGAGTTCTCTAGCAAGAGGTCTTAACCCTTTTTGTGTCATGGACTCCATATCTAAGGAAGCCTATGAACTCCTCCTCAGAATAATGCTTTGAAATGCATCAAATCCAAAGGAAATCAATTATAATTGAAATAGAGTTATCAAAATATTAGAAAAATAAGTTGATGGGCTCCAGCTTAATCCTGTGCCCAGTGGCCCAGTGTGGGGTCTTAGCTCAAAGACTAGGACTAGGGAGGGACAAACTGGAAGAGCTGAAGGAAAGATCTGCCCTCTCTTCTTGGGAAATCTTCACCCTAAGATCCATTCTCCCTCATCTTCTTCTTGGCAGGCTATGAATACACTCTATGAAATTCAGTATTGCCGTGAATACAAAGAGGCTGTGCAGAACTGGTACCCACAGCTCCTCCTGGGCCTCCTCACTCAGCTGCACTACATCTTTGAGCTAGGCTTGCTTGAATCACCAAAGAAGAATGAGACGTCACAGGGGGCAGAACCAACGACCAGCCCTCAGAGGTAAGGGCCACAGCTTGTGGTTTGGTGGAAACCATGACCTCTAGGAGTCATGTCCTGGCTCTCCCACCGACTCTCAAGGTAACCTTGGGAAAGTCCCTTCCTCCAAGACTTAATTTCCTCTTTTATAAAACCATCAATGGGTTATATGACCTCTATTCTGACACTATTTTCCAAGTTCTAAAGCCCCTCCCAGGTCTATGATTTTATGTTCTAAATTTCCTCAGAGCTCTGGTATTCTATGATCTATAGATTGATTGACTTCTTTCACCAGAATATGCTATGTTCTAAGGTGCCTTCCAGATCTCAGATGTCATTGATCCTCTAGAATTGGATTTTAGGCTGGTGGGGAGTAAAGAGAAAACATGAGCGTGAGAGATGAGCAGGGAGAGAAGCTGAAGATAGATGGGAGTTTATTTTTATTAATAAAAATTTTATAAATAAATAAATTTCATTAATAAAAATTTATAAATAATACTTACATTTGTGTGAATTTGGGCCAATCACTTCTTCATGTGGGCCTCAGTTTCTTCAACAGCTAAATGAGAGAGTTAAACTAGATGATCTCTACAGTACTGTCTACCTGTAGATCCTGTGTTTTCTTGTTAGCTCCCCTCTTTCCCAGGCCCAAAAGCTCTGCTGGTTAGCCTGAAGAGTAAACTAATCAGTGGGAATTTATTCAAGGCATATACACACATACACACACACACATACACACACATACACACAAACACACACACACACACATATACATACATCTTCCTTCCCTCCTCCCCTCTCTCTGTCTCTGTCTCTCTGTCTCTCTATCTCTGTCTCTTTCTCTCTGTCTCTCTCTATATATATATGGCAGAGCAAGCATAGATCACAACCAAGAGGTGATGAATAAATCCAGACTTTTCACAGTCTTTGGCAGATCGAAAAATATAACTTTTGGACAATGGGAGGAATTTGTTTGACTTGACTATACATATTTGTCACAACAGTTTGTTTTTTCCAGTGGAGGGGTCCAAGGTGGAAGCAGAGAAAATCATTGATTTTTTTGTTCATTGAAATTAAAAACAAAACAAACCAGGTGAGGGCATATCATAGAGGGGATTTTTGTTTAAGTAGCATTTGAACCAGATGGTCCCTAGGGTCCTTCTGACTCTGAAATGTTGTGATACAATGAGAACTGTACAAAAATATAAGGGGCTCTTTGCCCATAAGGGTATAGTGAGTTCTTCTTTCATGGAGATCTTATAGAGGATGTTTATTACCACTCATTGGGGATTTAACAAAGGATTCTTATCCAGGGAGGGGTTAGACTAGAATGACCTCTGAGATCCTTATCCCTTCCAATGCTGAGATATGGTGACCCCACATTGCTAGGTCAATTGAGGTGCTCCTCCATCTGGAGGTAGGGGGGTATGGCATAATCTTTATAGTTAGTTACAAATATAGTAAAATCATACAAGTAAAGATCTGTAACAAAGTTAAGTGGTCACCATCCCTACTCTGAAGAAATATCCCAGTGAAGTAATCTTATACTATATTGGGAAAGATTAGGATTAGACATAAGGGAGAACTTTTAGTTCAGCACTGAAGTGGAGGTAGGTAGAAGAAATGTCCCTCTCCTTAGTGTGAAATGGCATCACTTTCATCAGTCTAATATTGGTTGGAGGTGGGAAGGTCCTGTATAAAAAGATGGTCTGTATACCTCAACTCCCCACCCCACCCCCCACCCAAGCACTAAGAGCCCAGAATTGACAGAAAACCCTACGGAGGCAGCAAATACACAGTAGATTTATTGAATACTGGATTAGGAGTCAAAAGACCTGGTTTCAAATTCAGACTTTTTGTGACCTTTGGCAAGTTACGTTACCTTTCTTGGCTGTAGTTACCTGACCTGTAAAAATGAGGAGGCTGCATGAGATGGCTCTAAGGTCAACTCCAGATTTAAATCTATGATCCTGCGACACATTGTGTAATATATCTTGGCCAAGTCTCTTCCACTCTCTGCATCAATTCTTGCAATGGTAAAATGAACGGTTTGTACCAAGTGATCTTTCATGGGGCTTAAAGTGGAAATCCCTGGACTCAGATCTCAGCTCTAACTCTTGCTATATGTAAGGCTTCTGTATTACTACTTGAGGGGACCACCATCCTCTGAGTCTCCTAGGCTCCAGGTAATCCAGGTGGCATCCTTGACTTCTCACTCTCTCACTTACCCATAGCTAATCTTTTGCCAAGGCCGTGTCTATTTTATGACCTCTTCTCTCATCTGACACCACCACCACCCTGGTACTAGCCCTCATCATCTCAAGCCTGGAATATTGCAACAGCCTGCTGGTTGGTCTTCCTGCCACTCCAGCCCACCCTCCACTCAGCTGTCAGAGTGATCTACCTAAAGCACACATGTGACCATGTCACTCCCCGCCCCCTACTCAATAAACCCCAATGGCTCCCTATCACCTCCAGAGTCAAATATTAAATCCTCTGTTTGATGTTCAAAACTCTTCATAACCTTCCCCCATTCACCTTTCCAGTCACCTTATTCAACCTCACAAACTCTTCTATCCAGCAACACTGACCTCCATCCTGCTCTTTGAACAAGACAGTCCAATTCCAGACTCAAAGCATTTTCACTGACTGTCCTACATGCCTAGAATTCTTGCCTTCCTCACCGCCACCTCCTGGTCTTCCTTCAGGTCCCAGCTAAAATCCCACCTTCTACAAGAAGCCTTTCCCAATTCCCCTTAATGTTAGTGCTTCCCTTCTGTTGATTATCTCCCATTTGCAGTGTATACATCTTGCTTGTACTTGGTTGTTTAAGACAATCCCTAGACCATCTTTTGCCTTTCACTGTATCCCTTGCACTTAGCACAATGCCTGCATGTAGCAGTAGACACTTAATTGATGTTTGTTGACTGACCAACTAGGAACCTAAGTAAGAAATTTAATGTGTCTGGGCCTCCATTTAAGATGAGAAGAGGACCAAATAATCTCCAAAGTCCCTGCCTGCTCTAACCCTTGGTGACTCTAAGATCCATTCCAGCTCCAAAATCCTAGGATTGCTTAACTGACTCTGGTTCCTCTTGGCCATAGAACCTCTCTGGATTCTGTGAAGAGTCTTCTGTACACCAGTGGCCACTGGAAGGACTTTGCACAGTTAGAGCTACAAGGAGCCTGGGATCTCTTCTCCAGCTTTGATACCTACAATCAGGGGGTGACCCTCATTGCCAGGTACTAGACTGGGAAATGCTGTGAAAGTGGGGCAGGGGAGAGGAGAGGGGAACAGTACTATTCAGTTCAACAACGTAGAATGAAAGATCTGAGCCATATCATCTCAGCAGCCCATTCCAGCTTCTGACATCCGATGGTCTACGTTCCACAGCTCTGACATTCCAGGTTCAATGTTCCAAGGTCCTCTCCAACTCTGGCATTCTACGTTCTATCTTCCAAGGTCCCACCCAGTTCTGACATTCTATATTCTATCTCTTGAAGTGTCACTTATTTCTAACATTCTATGTTCTATACATTCTATGTTTTGGTCAGGTACAGGTTGGACTAAAATGGCCTTTTTAAAAAAGATAATATTTTATTTTCCCCAATTACATGTTAAAACAATTTTTTAACTCTTTTTTTTAAGTTTTGAGTTTCAATTTCTATCCTTCTCTCCCTTCCTTCCCTCCTCTCCCCACTCCCTGAGATGGTAAGCAATCTGATATTGCTTAAACATGTGCAATCATATGAAATATTTCCATATTATTCATTTAGTACAAGAAGATTCAAACAAAAAAGAAAAAGAAAGTGAAAAATAGTATGTTTCAGTGTATATTCAGACAACATCGGTTCTTTCTTTGGAGGCAGATAGCATGTTTCATCATGAGTTTTTTGGGATTGTCTTGGATCATTGTATTGCTGAGAATAGCTAAGTCATTCACAGTTCTTTATCATACAATGTTGCTGTTACTGTGTATGATGCTCTCTTAGTTCTGCTCACTTCACATTGTGTCAGTTCATGTAAGTCTTTCCAGGTGTTTCTTAAAATCATCCTGCTTATTTGGAACTATGCCCAAAAGGCTATAAAAACGTGCATACCCTTTAACCCAGCAATAGCACTTCTAGGGCTGTAACCCAAAGAGACCACACAAATGGGAAAAGGATCCACGTGTACAAAAATATTCATAGCAGCTCTTTTTGTGGTGGCAAAGAATTGGAAATTGAGAGGATGTCTATCAACTGGGGAATGGCTGAACAAGTTGTGGTATATGAATGTAATTGAATACTATTACACTATATGAAATGATGAACAGGCTGACTTCAGAAAAACCTGGAAAGACTTGTTTGGTCTGATGCTGAGTGAAGTGAGCAGAACCAAGAGAACGTTGTACACAGTAACAGCCACACTGTGTAATGACTAATATTGATAAATTTAACCCTTCCCAGCAATACAAGGATCTAAGACATCTCCAAAGGCCTCATCGATGGAAAATGCTATCCACATCCAAAGAAAGAACTATGGAGTTTGAATGCAGATCGAAGCATACCATTTGCTATTTTTTTTCTTCTGGTGTGTTTTGTTTCCTCTTTCTGGTGGTTCCTCCTATTGGTTCTAATTCTTTCTTACAACATCACTAATGTGAAAATGTGTTTAATAGGAATGTATATGTATAGCCTATATCAGATTGTGTGCTGTCTTGGGGAAGGAGGTGGGGAGGGAGAGGGAGAAAAATTTAAAACTCAAAAGCTTATGGAAGTGATTGTTTATAGGTCAAAATAAATTAATAAAAAAAGAAATCATCCTGCTTGTCATTTATTATACCACAGTAATACTCCCTCACAAACATATACCACAGCTTGTTCAGCCATTCCCCAATTAATGGACATTCCCTCGATTTCCAGTTCTTAGCCACCACAAAAAAAAAAAGTTGCTATAAATATTTTTAACGGCCTTTTTTTAAAAGTTCCTTCTAATTTGGAGATTCTGTGGTGTCATTTTGCCCAAGGGTCAGTCAGATAACAAGAAAGAGCCTGAATTCAAACCCAGATCCTTTGTCTCAAGAGCTAGTGGTCATTCCACTAGACCAAGTCATCTGGATTAGACGGCTAGATAGAGGCAGGCATTATAAAAGTTAAAGAGGAACCTCAGAGAAGGATCAATTACCATTCATGTTTTGATCTATTATAGAAATCCTTCCATCCTTCAGGGCCTCACTCCTCTAAGACCTATATCCATCAAGAAGATTTCTTTGACTGTTCTAACTGATGCCAATCTCTCTTCTTGGTTCCTGATATGACTTGACACCTTGACACTCAATTACATTAAGCTAGCATTTAGGTAGTATTTTAAGGTTTGCAAATAATGTCTCATTTTATCTTCACAGCAACCATAGGAAGGTAGGTACTGTCATTATCATTAGAGGTTGCCCAGGGTTACACAGCTAGAATGTCTGAGCCCAGATATGCACTCAGGTCTTCCTGACTTCAGGGCCAGTGTTTTATTCATTGCCCCACAAAACTGCCTCAATCTAACACCTGATTTGACCTTGTTTTGTACTTTTCACACACATACCCCTATAATGCCCTCTCCATCCTCTCAGCCTATTTGAATGCTGCACTTCTTTGGGGATCCCTTCAAATTCTACCCCCCCTCTAGGAAGTCTTCCATGAGTATTCCAGCTCCCAGAAATCTCCCCTCCTGAACTCCTTTTGTCCTTGTAATCATTATCACATAGGCCCTGCCTTGTAAGCTCCCAACAAGCTAGGGTCTCCCTCTAGATCTCCTGATGTTGGGCCTCCAAATGATTCTTTTTTTAAATAACCTATCTCTAAAGCCCTTTATAGACTGATTCTAAAAGTCTAAGTGGTTTAAGTCTTCCATGGACTCTTCTTGTCCAGCCTCATCCTTTGCAAACATTCACATGGAGGCATATGACACTCACATACATATGTATATACATGAAGACACATAGAATACACATGCATAACTCTTACTCATATAGAAATCTGATACATAATTTTCATAGCAATGACTCTATAAGACAGGTATATGCACATCTGATGATCTCCATCCTATGGATAACTCTAAAAACTCAAGTGACAGGCCCACAAAGCTAGTGAGCATCTAAGGTGACATTTGAACCCAGGTCTCCTGACTGCAAGTCTAGCCATTTTTACCTCACAGATCCTGCCCAGGGAATTCACCCAACGCTCTAGGGAGGGCCTTTCTTTAGAAAACCTTGACATCGCATGGATGCCAATGGAGCACAGAGGCCACTTATTAGTTACCACTTATTTTCCCTGCCTCACCCACCCACCTTACTTTCCAGTCTATAGTTTTCTGACATTTCCTCTGCATATTTCTTTTTTGGCAATTTATGCCACAGCCTACTCACACCTACCATGTGTCATCTTCACAACAGAATGATAATAATGATCACAAAAACAGCTCTGCCAACATCCTCCTGCAATGCCTCATCATGCCAAAAGAGTCAGCAATCCTGGCTTCTCCAAGGCAGTGCCAGTAGCCCAAGCTGTGGCTGGCCCTACTAACCTGGAAGAGATTTAGTGCAGGCCCTCCAATGGACTACGTGCATACAAAAGCCTCGTGAAGTGCTAAGGAACTGATCAGCAGAGAATGCAGATTTTGTTGTTGTTTTATGGCCACAGAAATACATCAAGATCACCTACCAAAGCATGGAGTGTTATGAAGTATATCATTTCATAGTTAGACTCTTGGAAAATATCATCTGGAATCATCAACTTGCCTCCCTGCCTCTCATTTACTCCTGGCTACCTGGCTTTGAATACCATCACTTAACTGATGGGCTATTCCTTCCAAAGGGTATCAATAATAATCTCTTAACTTCTGCATCCAATGGCTTTGTCTCAGTCTTTGTCCTAAAAATACTTGCATTTTTGTAGTGCCTTAAGGTTACCAAAACCCTTTCATCACAACAGCCCTATAAGATATAAAGAGCAAATACATTTAACCCCATTTTACAGGTGAGAAAACTGAGACCCAATGAGTCAAAGTGACTTCCCCAAGTACATATCATTGCTAGGGTTTGGGTGACCTGCCCAAGTACCATGGGTAGGGTTTGAGGGTTTAAATGACCTGCCCAGGATAATTAGTAAGTTTCATGGCCAGGGAGGGAAATTTTTAAGCAACTTGCCTGGGATACCTAGTGCCACAGTGACCAGAACCCAAGGCTTTTCTAACTGCAATGCACGCACTACTTGTACACATACCATACACAGAGAAACAAACACCCACTCACAAAACCAAATGTTGGTACAGGATAGCTTGGTTGTAAGTCTGTCTCATGCCCTCCTGTCCCATTGCAGGGCTATGGTGCATAATTCCTGCAGCCAAATCAAAGGACTCCTTTACCAGACCATCTCCAACGTGGAGGCCAAACTGGAACGTGACAAGAAGGTGGCCAGCCTCTTTTTCACAGAGGTAGGATACTTGCTGAGGGCAGGGAGAAGAACTCTGGGGATCTTCTTCAAGAATATTCCTTTTCCTATCCCATTATTAACCAGGAGAGAGAATCCCAAAATCCCAGAGGTAAAGTAGACCTCAAAGACCAGATCTAGTCCAATCCACATGTAAATAATATGTTTGGCAAGTGACTTGATAAGTCACCCTACCTCCGCCTGAGGGGAGCCCATTCATTCCATTTAAGGACAACCCTTAATAGTCATTTTTTCCCTTACAATGAGCCTAAGTCTTCCTCTCTGCAACCTTCATTCATTCTAGTTTTGCCCTTTAGATTCCAACACAACACTAATCCATCCCCCACAGGACAGCCCTTGAAATACTTGGAGGCATCTTTCATGCCCTTTTTGACCAAAAAAAAAAATCTAAAACATTCCCGGAGCATAAACCAAATGCTCTAGCTCCAGAAGCTTGGGAAAGGATAAGCCAATCTTCCGGCACAGAGGCAAAGCCTAATCCTCCTTGAGCACCCCTCATTGTCCCTTGAGACAACCCTTCTCCAAGTTCTACTTTCCCCATCTCTTCTAGAGCCTGTTTCGCTGCCCAGTCTAGGGCCCAATCGGCTAGGAACAAAGTCTTTTGCTACCCGAAGAAAGCAGCCTGTAGCTACGCCTCAAACTCCCTCCCCCGACCCAAGAAGCAGAGCTAGAACTTAAGGCAGACCACCAGGACTTCATCTGAGTAGGGCACTGCCACAGAGTGGAGAAATTATCCCCGGGGTAGTGGCCATAAGGAGCCACTGACAAATGACAGCGCTCCTCTGGGGGAAGAAAACAAGGACAGGACCTCTAGGGGGAGGCTCAGTGATGGAGGGGAGGCGATATAATTACAGAACCAGTAGCTGTATGAGTACAGTCAGTCAATCAGTTAACAAGCATTTATTAAGCACCTGTTATGCGCCAGGCAGTTTAATGGGGGAGGTAATATGACAACAACTATGTACAAACAGCCCACATACAGGATAAAAATGGAGAATTAAAAGGGAACAGGAAAGCCTTTATTTTTTGCAAAATGTAGTTTAATGTTAAGGAAAAAATGTATTAAACTCATTTTAAATGACTAAAAATCTCTAACATTTAACAAATAGAGAAAACCTGGCAAAATTATTTATGTAATGCTCTGAGATAGTTTAATATTAAGAGGTATAGGGAAAGCTTTTACCAAGAGCTCCCATGTAACAAAACTATTATAAGAAATAAAGTATGTATAACGTGATTACATGGATGAGTTTTAAAGGCACAGGACAATGTAATTCTTTTAGAGACACATGGAGTCAACATACAAAATTACATGAGTACTCCTGAAAAAGAAGGCAGGATTTTAGCTAAAAACAGAAAGAAGCCAGGAGAGGCAAGAGGCAGAGATAAGGAAGGAGAATATTCCAAGCACGTGCAACAGCCTAATGTGAGGGGAAGGGGCACAATAGGGAGGTGACATCAGGACCTTCAGTAAGGACATCCTGTGTCCCTTATCCAGGGGGCATTCTCTTTCCCCTCAAGTTTTGTTGTTCTTGGATTCTCAAACTTTGTTAAAGCCTAGAGTCCTGGGGCTGGGCAGGACTGGGTTAAATATACAAAAATCAAAGGAGGAAAGCAGAAAGACCCCAAGGAAAGAAAGGATAGTCATTTTGGGTTAACTGCACCCTAAAGTCAGATGAGGAAAAAAACAATGAAAAGCTTAACTAGTCCTTCTGAAAGAGTTAGACAATAATGAGAAGACAAATAGAGGGTAGGGGGAAAGCAGTGTGGTGTGGTGGAAAGAGAACACTTGATTTGAATTCATAAGATCTGGATTCCAATCACAGCTCTACCTGTGTGACCATGGGTAAATCACTTCATTTCTCTGGGTCTCAGTTTTTTTATTTTAGAGGTGACGGCTGCCCTGAGAAGGGAGGAGGAGGCCCTTGAGAATCCCAGAGGTAAAACTGAAATAAGATCATCGTATCAGTGTCCTAGAAGTGTCCATGGCTCCACATTGCCTATAGGATGAAGGCACTCCTGTCAGCTTCTCCATCTTAACCCCAGCAGTCTCCCATTAAACCTGCTTGCTCTGAATGCTCTGTCTCAGATCTTCAAAGCCAGAAAAGCCAATCTTTTTTTTTTCCAAAATGGGAAAACAATAATTCTGTCGCCAAATTGTTACATGACAAGTGACAAGTCCCTTTCCCATCAATGGACCTTCCGCTTCCTTCCCTATAGAATGAGAAGGTTGAATTAGCTATTCTCTTCCACCTTCCTTCCACCTCTGAAACACTCATTTTAATTTCTGACTCTATGCCCGTCTATCCCCTTGAGCCCCAGAAGTAGAGACCATACTATCCCCTGCCGCATCACTGTCTCTTATTTACCTAAGGGCTAGACTAGATAGGCAAAAGAAGGAAATAAACATTTATATAGCTCCTACTATGTGCCAGGCACTACACTAATTGCTTTATTCACTTGATCCTCAAACCAACCTTGTGAGGTAGGTGCTATTATTATCCCCATTTTACGGTTGAAGAAAGTGAGGCAAATAGAGGTTAAGCAACTTGCCCAGGGTCACACAGTGAGTAAATGTCTGAGGTACATTTTGAACTCAGGTCTTCCTGATTCTAGGTCCAGGGCTTATCCTTTGCTCTACAGCTGCCTCTAAGGTTCCTTCCATTCCTGACATTCCATAGTTTTCATTTCTGTCTCTGTGCCCTGTCTATCCCCTAATCCCTAGGAGTAGAGTCCATACTACCCTCTTGTCATATCATTATTTCTAGTTCTTCATCAGCCCAAGAGAGACCATGCCTTGAGATAAAAGCTCTAGAAAAATCAGCCCTGATCGCTCCTATGCCATCCTTATTCAAAGTATGCAGTACCATATCTACACACACCTTATTATCAGAGAAACATCCCCATGAGGGGAGAAAGGGGGACTGGGGATGACAGTGCCCCCTCCCCCACTTCAGTTTCTCAACAGCCCTGTGATACTGGAGGAACTACCTAAACAGGCCATATTGTCACACCTCCATCAAGGGCTGGCTGACCCCAATCCTTCCATCCGAGTGATAAGCCTGCAAGGCCTCAAGAATGTCATCTTTGACTCAGAGAAGGTAAAAAGGCTCAAGGAGGCCATTCATTGACTCAGTTATCCATTTACAATTCTCATATATTTATCCTTGAATGGGTACGTGGGTGGGTAAGAAGAGCCTGACCAGAGAGGAGTGAGTGTGATGGGGATTTATAGATGTGGTAGGGGGTAAGGGAAGATAGGAGTGAGCAAGGGGGGAGGAATAACAGCCTCATGGCTTTGAATGCTAGGCAGAATTTAGACTTGTTGAAGAAGACAAATGGGGAGCCATCTTCTGTTCTGAGCATAAGATCACAGTATTCAAGGTTCAAAGAGGAGAAAACTAAGGTCCAGAGAAACTAAGAAAACCAGAGAACAGCCTATTAGTCCAAATCCACAAGTTAGTCAATAACAGAACCAGGATTCTAACCTAAGTGTCCTGACCAAGTCTGGAAGAACACTTCAAATCCAGAGCCTTTCCCATGAACTCCCACTGGGGAATGACATGATGAAAGTGCTATTTGGTGAGATGAGTCTGGACAAAATTTTCCAAAATTCCCTGAGGAACAGGCAACCTCATAAGTGGGTTCCACATTCCTGAAGGGTCTCTTGGGAAAACTGAGTAATTATTTGTCAGAGGGGATTCCTGTTCCAAGGTCTCTTCTAGCCTGGAGGGTGTGTAATTCTGGATAGGAAGGGGCTAAAGTGCTGGTGACTACCAGAGGTGTCAAATTCAAATAGAAAGAGATCCCATATTGACTTAGAAAACCACACATTAATATGTTCTGTCTTGTATTGTATTTTTATTTATTTTATTCAACATTTCCCAATTACATTTTAATCTGGTTCTGATGACCCTTGGTAGTTTTGTGGGGTTGAGCCAGGCCTCCAATTTGACCCCTCTGCCTAGACTGTTTTTCTGTCCTCCAGGGTAACCTTCTCCGAGCCCAGCTGCCAGCCTTCCTGGAGGGTTTCTACCATGAAAACGAGCAGGTGGTCATCAGGGTAATGAGCACAGTGGCTGATGTCCTATACTGCCTGGGGCAGCAAGGGACTGGCCACCAGTGCCAAGAGATTGCCCTCAATCTTCGCAATTTCTTTGATGATGTGAGTGTGGCTGTGAATGCATGGCCCCTGGATATCTCCATGTGTGCATCTCCTTCTATGAGATTCCTGGGAGGGGTTCAAGCTGAGATCTTAGAGGGTCGGGAGCTCTAAGGCTGTGTCTATGCCTGGAGTGTACTCTTTTCTCACTTCTGTCCTTTCTCAGACCTTCTCATTTTACAGAAGGAAAAACTGAGGCCCAGAGAGGAGAAAAAGAAACCTACCAATGGTCACACAGCTAGCCAATGGCAGAGTCAGGAGTTTCTGACCCCAAATCTAGAGCTTCTTCCATCTCAACACTCAAGTTGGTATGGAGGAACGGAAAGAGCACTGGATATATTGGTTTGAATTTTGAGTCTATGACAATACCCTGTGTGACCTTAAGCAAGTCACTTCTCTCAGTTTCCCCATCTGTAAAATTTGTTTGGATTATATGATTCTAAGGTCCCTCCTTAGGGACCTATAAGTATATACATGTTCCTACAATCGAGAATCATATTATTTGCTGCCAATAGCCCCAAAGAGGGCACCACTGCCTCTCTCTTTGTCCGGAGTTGTCAAGAAGTGATAGATAAGATCAGTCAGAGCCAGAACCCAAGGTGATGGGCCCTAAAATTGATGTCCTATATGTTGGCTGTGGAGCTGAGTATATAGACAGGAAGGTAAGCAAGAGAGCCCTTCATGGAAGAGCAGGGCAGTTCTTGTAGGTTGTATGTTGTGAATGGGCAAGTATTGTATGCCAACTTGGCATCCTTTGGGAACCAGAGGCCTGAGAGCTATAGGATGATTCCCAGGTCACAATGTCAGGCACGGCTGTATCCTCACAGCACCCTCTGAGCCTTGCCCCCTTCTCAGGGTGCCTGGCTCAGAAAACACATGATCCTGACAACAGGATTACATATTGGAGGTAATTTGTTGAGAGACAAGGTGGGTACAAGTGTGCCATTGTGTGTAAGGAGGATTGTGTATATGTGAGATTTCCTATGTGTCTACTTGTGTGCATGTATGTGTGCATAGCAAGAACATATTTGAGAAAGAAAGAAATCCTCTCCTTCTAAAGTTTTTGCCTAAAAGAAGAGTAATAGACCCTGGTCTGAGGTAAAGACATAGATTGGGCCAACTGTTGCCAAGAATTCCTAGGGCCATATATCAAGGCTGAGAAACAGTGGTAAAATGCGGTAAAATGCTGCTTGAGGACAGGGACTGTTACAGCACCTAGCATACAGTAGGTACTTAATAAGTGCTTTTAGATTTATTCATTGATGATGGCTGGGGATGGGGTGGGGGTGGGGGCTTCTCTGGGCATGTCATCCTCAGGATCGAGATAAGGTCCGAGCATCAGCCATCTCCCTGTTTGCAGACCTAGTGATTTCCATGGAGGGAAAGGATTACTACACTCTGAAGCCCCAGGTGCACCAGAGCCTGATACCCCTTCTCATGCACCTGAAGGATGAGTGCCCAGCAGTTATAACGGTCAGTCAACCCAATGGTCAAGCAGAGAGGCTGACTGTCAGATAATCAGACAACCAGCCCATCAGTCATCATAACAAGTAGTCACAGAGACAGGCAGTCACTCAGGTAGTTGCTCAGGTCCAGTGGCAATCCAATAAGCATTCAGACAGACAGAAGGGTTAGAAGGCCAGTCGGTCAAGGGTCAGTCAAACACTGGAGTCAGCCAAGCCATCCTTCAAAGCTGTGTTGCCCTGTGGGAATAAGCCCATCTCTAGGGAAAGGGATTCTGCCTTTACCCTTAGTAAAAAGACATTGAATCTTTGCCCCTGGGGAGGTGGGAGGATGGGGGAGAAAAAAGAGGCAGATGGGGAGTATAGCAGAGGAGCTAGGGAAAGAGGAAGAAACAATTCTCCCTCTAACTCTGGCTAGGCAGGGGACAAAGACAACCAGGCAATGCACATTCACACTGGCTACCACCCTTCCCCCACATTAGACTGGTCTTATTTTCATTATAAATCCACTGACTGATTTTGTTTAGAACCACAGTCTTATTTCATTTTCATTCAATCCAATGCCCTATTTTCATGAAGCCAACTCAATTATTTTCATTTGGCCTAGTGCCCAGTTTTCATTAGGATAGATGCTTTATGAAATTCATCATTATTATATATTACTCCCCTTTAGACACACTACGATCCAGCCAAACTGGCCTTCTTGTTCCTCCCAAGGATAACTCATCTCCTATCTCCAAGCCTTTGCACAGGCTGTGTCCACACGTGGAGTACACTCTCTTCTCACTTCTGTCCTTGCTCAGACCTGGCTTCCTCCAGACAACACTGCATCCCTTTCTATCCCTTTCATTGTACTCACATCCCACTATAGAGGCTCAATGGTTTAGGAGGAGAAACTGGAATACTCCCCTTGCTCCTCACTGACATTTCCAGATTCTGTCTCTGCTGTCCTCAGTATCCTCAACTACTTTGGAATTCATGGTATCAAAATGTTTCAACCTATTCAAATCATGGTGACTATTGCCTACCAACCCCCAGGTCCTTCTCCCTCATATCTGAAAGAGTTTATTTGCCTGGCTCACTGTCTTTCTTTCCTCCCCTAGCTCTTTTTTTTTTTTTAAACAGGATTTCAACAGCCACAGTGATGCTCCTTCAATCTCTCTAATATACTATTTCCTTAAATCTCTCAACATACTCCTTTACTTCCTCTCAGCTATATATAGGCATGGTCACACTCTGGATCTCATCATTACTTATAAGTGCTCCACTTCCTTAATCAAAAATTCTAACATTCCTCTACCTGACCATAACCTGCCATCATCCTATCTCACCCCATGCCCCACCCTTCCTGAACCCATTCAGGTTCAAGGCTTCATCTTGACCTCCAATCCTTTTAGCCCTCTGTCTTTCAGACCATTACCCTTGCTCCACATTCTTATCCCCTCTTGACTCCTTCACCCCCTATCACAGCTCATTCCTTGTCAAATCTCAACCCAGATTACTGTCACCATTCATCTCTTCTGTTTCTACTCTCATTCAACTGTACATTCAGAGCTAGAGGAAGTCACACAGCCATGCAAACTGAGTACACTATAAATTCATGTTAGCCAACTTCAACTGGGTGCTCACTGGAGCAAAGCAGGTCCTTTATTCCTCCCTAATCAATTCCCTATCTTGCTCCCTCAAAAGCCATTCTAATCCTTTTGTCTCCTCAAGCTTTCCATAATTTCCTTTTCTCCCATTCTCTCAGATGAGAACCTCACCTCTTACTTTAATGGGAAAATTAAGACTATTTATCTCAAATTCCCTCTTCTCACCTTCTGTCAACAGTTAACAAGCATTCACGAAGTACCTACTCCGTGCCAAGTATTGTGCAAAGTGTTGGATCCCTTGTTATAATTTTCTACTTTCTACTCCTTTCCCATAGTCTCTGATAATGAGGCTTCCCCGGGGATCTTGGCCAAGGCTAACCCCTCTACATGGGCTCATGATCCATCCTCTCCCAGCTTCTCCAGCAAATTGTCCTCTCAATCTACTGCTCCTCCAAATTTCAACCCTGCCTCCTTTCTAGTTCTTCCCTGCTGCCTTCAAAAATACTCAATCCATCCCCTACCCTTAAGAAACCTTCACTAGACCTATCCCCTTAAATTTGTCATCTTATATTACTCTTCCTTTCTCAGCCAAACTCCTTGAAAAAGCTCTCTAGATATATTATCTAGTTCTCTCTCCTCTTACTCGTTTCGCAACCTTTTGCAATCTGGCTTCTAACCTCTTTACTCACCTGAAACTGCTCTCTCCAAACTACCAATGATCTCAATTGACAAATCTTCTCTCAGTCTTTATCCTATTTGACTTCTCTGCTGCATTTGACACTAAGTACTACCCTCCCCTCCTCAAAGCCTCTCATTGCTGGGACTTCATGCTACCTACTATTCTCACCTGGTTCTCCTCCCACCTGTCATTCATAAGATCCACCATCTAGCTAATTAAAAAAAATCAGCAAAATAAATTTCAGTTGCAAATTTATAACTATAAGCTTTAAAAGTATAAGCCATATGTAACTCAGAAAATACTGGTAATATTTTATAACAATAAGTTACACATTCCCAACTATAAGCATTCCCCCAAACTCTATTCTAGGTCCTCTTCTCCTCTTCTCTCCATGGATTTAATTATCATCTCTAAACTGATGAATCACCATTCTATACAATATATTCAGCCCTAGTCTCTCCCCTTCAGTCCCATATCATCATCTTTTAACCATTTCAAACTTCATGTCCTGGAGATATCTTATACTTAACATATTCAAAAGAGAACTCATTATCTTTCCCTTTAACCCCAATCCCACCGCCTTCCTAATTTTTCTATTTCTTTTGAAAGCACTACTATTTTTCTAGTGCCTCAGATTAATAACATTAAAGTCATCCCCAACTCCTCAGTTGTACTCACCCCACAGAGCCAATCATTTGCCAAATCTTGTCATTTCTCCCTCCTTATTATCCCTCCATTCACAGGGTGGCCTCAAATTATTGGAACAGCTTTATAATTGGTCTCCTAGCCTTGGTTCTCTCTTCACTCCAGTCTATCCTACAAACAGTAGCTAACAGAATGTTCAAGAGGTGATTTAACATTTCACTCCTTTACTCTTGAATGGCTCCCTATTTCCTCTAGGATTTTAGCTTTTAAAGCCCTTCACAACTTAGCATCAACCTATCTTTCCATCTTCATTACAAACAGCTCATCCTTCTGCACTCTACAATTCTGGGGTGTACAAGGCGTTCAAGAGTTTCTGGGGTGCTCAGGAAGGACTAGCGCCTCTGGTACGAGGGCTTGCCAAGCCCTTTTCAGGGATGCTCACACACCCTGAGTGTCTACCTGGCACCTAACTCTCACTCGTGGCTCCTGTAGCACGTGCAGTGGCCATACCCTGGTAAACCATCTTGGCAGACAAGCTAAACCAAGTTGAGGGTAACCAACGGCCTTCAAACCCCTCAGTTAGTTAGGGGGGTGTCTACCCCGAGCATGTGAAGACTTCCCCCCCCGCAGAATAGGCACATAAGAACAATTTGTTTCAACATCCATGAAGGCGGCTGAAGCAGGTGCTGTGCAGCCTTCGAGCTTGGCCAGACATCGAAGATTCCAAGGTCAACCACTGCATCCCAGACCTTTGCCAGTTCTCTTGACTTTTGGTGACCCTGGAAGACAAAGTGAGGCTGACAACTTTGTACAACTCTGCATCACTTAAATCCAATTCACACATGAGTCAAGACATCACCCTGTGATGTTACTGGTCCTTCTTCGAAAACAAAGGACAAACAACAGTTCTGCTAACCTGGCCTTCTCTCTGATCCTCACACAGGCAACTCCATCTTCTGTCTCTGCCTTTGCATTGGCCATCCCTCAGCCTGGAATATACTTTCTCCTCGCCTCTGCCTCCCAGAATCTCTCTCTTCCTCCAAGATCCAGCTCAATCACCACCTTCTCTAAATGAAGTCTTCTCAGATCCCATCACCTGCTAGTTCCCTTTCTCTCTCCAACTACCTTATATTTATCTATATTCTGTTGGTATTTATTCTGTGTACACTTACATATGCATTGCTCGTTTCCCCATTCAAATGTAAGCTTCTCATGAGAAGAGACTGATTCATTCTTTATATTTGTATTCTATTACTTAGCTTAGTACCTAGTACACAGCAGGCACTTAATAAATGCTTATTGATTGATAGAATCCTTAATTTCCTTCAAAACTTAGCTAAAGTGCAACCATCTTCTCTACATGAGGCTATTCCTAATACTCCACCCCCCAACGAAGATGTTAGTACCACCTTTCAACAAAAAATTATCTTGTATTAATTTTTATATATTTTATACCTATATCTACACCTTGCTTCCCCCAATAGCATATAAGCACTTTGAGAGCTGTTTCATTTTTGTCTTTATATGCTTAGCTGCTATACAATGGATGGTACTATAAGGCTCTTAATAAATGTTTGTTGATTGATTCAGATCCCTGCCTGAGGCAGAGTGGTACAGGACAATGAGACCTGTCTTTAAATCCTGGCTTCAATATTTACTAGTTGTGTTACCCTAAGCAAATTACTTAATCTCTCAGAACTTCAGTCTCCACTGTGTCAAGAGGACACAACAATATAAGACTTACAATCACTCATGCTAGTATTTCTTGCCTTTGAGGCTGCTATAAGGAAAGTACTTCATAAATCTGTAGCTTGGAAGACATCATGATTATTATAATTTCATCTGATGGGCCCTGGGTCAATGGCTCTCTATTCACAACTAGACATGATGACTTTCCTCAAGGTCATTCCAGCTCTTGAAGGCCAGCTTTCTTCATGCAGGGGAGGAGGAGGGAGATCCTGGGGGGCTAAGGAGGAGGAAGACCCACCAGCTCTATCTCTACCTTGCAGAAAAGCAAGTTCACTTTCTACCGTTGTGCTGTGTTCTTGAACTGGAAGCTCCGCCACACACTGTTCTGTACACTGGCCTGGGAGGAAGGCCTCAGTGCCCGCCACTTTCTCTTTTCCTGTCTGGTGAGTAAGTCAGGGCTGAGGTGGGAGGAAGAGAAAAAAATGTTTTTAATGATTTAGTTTCTATTTGGTACTGGCTAAAAAGGAGTCAATCAGTGAAAGAGAACTGGTATATAACAGACAAAATCAAATACAGTAGCATCATGTTTGTTAAACCCAAAGACCCCAGTTACTGGGGCAAAGACTCAGTATCTGACCAAAAATATCTGGGAAAACTGGAAAGCAGTCTGGCAGAAATTAGATCAAGAAATCATTACATATATACATATATATTATTCATATATGTGTGTACACATATTTATGTACATATATGTATATGTAGTAATATGTGTGTATACATATACATATATACATATATATATATAGAGAGAGAGAGAGGTATGTGTGTGTGTGTGTGTGTGTATAGTTCCAAATGGATACATGACTTAGATATAAAAGGTCATATCACAAACCAAATAGAGGAGGAAGAAAGGAAACATCTAATACAACTTTGGATAGGGGAAGAGCATATAACTAAACAAGGGAAGAAGATCACAGAAAATAAAACAGATAATTTTGATTATACAAAACTAAAAAAGTTTTACACAAAGGTAATGTAGTTCAAACTAGAAGACAAGCAGTTTACTGGGTGGAGGGGGAGGAGATCTTTGAAGCTCATTTCTTCAATAAAAGTCTGATATCCAAGATACATAAGGAACCGACTCAATTATATAAGAATAAGAGACATTGTCTGAGAGGTAAATACAATAAAAAGAAATAAAACATGCAGTCCTCAAGGGAGGAAATCTAAGCTATTAGCATAAAAAATAATGTAAGAAAATCACTAATAATGAAATAATAAAGTAATTTAAAATAACTGAAGTGACACCTCAGATTGGCTAATATGACAAAAAATTAAAAAAGAAAAAAAAAGACCATTGTTGGAGAGACTGTAGGAAAACAGGCATATTAATACATTTTTGGTGAAGTTGTGAAATTGGTCCAGCCATTCTGGAAAGCAATTTAGAACTACATGCAAAGAATCACTAAACATTCCCTTTTACCCAGTGATACTGCTACTATACATATAACCAAAAAGAAGTCAAAGAAAAAGAAAAAAGAGACTCACATGAACAAAAATATTTATAGTAGTTCTTTTTTGTTGTAGTACATTAACTAGAAACAAAAGATATGCTCATCAACTGAGGAATAATTGAGCAAATTATGGTATATGAATATAATGGAATATTATTGCACCATAAGAAATGACAAAAGGGACAGTTCCTAAACCTGCAAAGACTTTTATAAACTGATGAGCAGAACCTAGAGAACAATTTATATGATAATATTGTAAAGAAAAACAATTAAAAAAAATTAAAGTGGTAACCAATTCCCCCAGGTGGTAGCTAAGTGACTCAATAGATAGAGAGCTGGGCCTGGAGTCAGGAAGACTCATCTTCCTGAGTTCAAATCTAGTCTCAGATACTTACTAGCTATGTGACCCTAGGCAAGTCACTTAACCCTGTTTGCCTCAGTTTCCCCATCTATAAAGTGATCTGGAGAAGGAAATGGCAAACCACTCTGGTATCTTTGCCAAGAAAACCCCACATGGGGTCACAAAGAATTGGGCATGACTGTATAGCAACCAAAACAGTCACCCTGAGGTGGGAAAATTCAGCCTGACCAGTATCGCTGAGACTGAGAAAGACAGTGTTCGTGACTGGAAGATAGCTAGGGAAGAGGACATCTTAATCAAAAGGAAGAGAACAACTAAATGGGTAGATGGAGTCATAACATATAGGTGATAATAAATCAATAGGGTCTATGTGTAGACATCTTATGCCTAAGTGTCTAGAAACCCTTATGAGCTACTAGGTGGTGCAGTGGATAGAGTACAAGGCCTGGAGTCAGGAAGACCTGAGTTCAAATCTGGCCTCAGACACTTACTAGCTTGTGACCCTGGGCAAGTCACAGAACCCTCTTTGCCTCAGTTTCCTCATCTATAAAGTGATCTGGAGAAGGAAATGGCAAACCACTCTGGTATCTTTGCCAAGAAAACCCCAAATGGTCACAAAGAGTCTGAAACGACTGAAATGACTGAAATGACTGAACGCCAAAAATCATAACTCCAGAGGACCAGAGATAAAATATGTTCCTCACCTCCTGACAGGAGGTGCAGAAAGAAACATTGATCATCTGACGCCCAAATATCAAGACAAAGAGAAATAGGAAAGAATAATAAAATGGGCAAAAGATGCTGGGGGGAAGGGAATGGAGAAGCAGGAGGAAGGAAACAGTTCAGAAAGGAGAGAAGATTTTTGACCTGGAGATCTCGGAAGGCTTCAGGGAGGGGCACCATTTGAGCAGGCCACTCTAGAAAGGGGAGAACATCAACAAAGATATTAAGGGAGAGTGTTGGGACTAGCATGAGTAACGTGAGAAGCTAGAAAGCATGGAACAGCTGAGTTTAACAGCTCAGACTGACCAGAGTGTAAGATATGTAGAGGGGAACAAAAGGAACACTGTATAGGACAAAGAGCGTTGTATGGCAAGAAGTCGGGAGTCCTGGGTTTCATTTCTATCTCTGCCACTAACTTTCACTTTGACTGTGAACAAGTGCCTTCTCTCTGGGCCTCAGTTTTTCCATTGAAAAACAAGTTTTACTGATGTGTTTTGTTTTTATATCTCATTTCTAGATCACCTCCGTTCCTCAAGAGGTGTATCAGTAAAACTAATGCTATAATGACCTCATCTGAAAGTGCACGTGAAGTTCCATAGCTGTAGCACTTCATTTTTAATATTTTTATTAACAAATCTATTTTCTCTCCTTCTTGCCCCTGCCCCATTGGGGGGAGAAAAAAGAAAAAACAATTTCCTTGTAACAAGTATGCATAGTTACTCAAAACAAATTATCTCATTGACTATACACAAATATTTATGTCTATGTCATATATATATATATATATATATATGCATGTATCCTATATACGTGAGATGTTTATGTATGTATATGTATGTATATACGTGGGTATGTGTATATATATACACATACACCTATATGTGTGTATGTGTATGTGTATATATATATATATATATATATATGTGTGTGTGTGTGTGTGTGTATATATATATATATATACACACAAATTCTGTACCCTAAATCTTTTACCTATACTCTATCTCAGGAGGTGGATAGTATATTTCATCGGCAGTCTTCTGGGATCATGGATCATGGATCATTGTATTGCTCACAGTTCTTACAATTTTTAATTGATCTTTTATTGTTGTCTATATTGTTCTCCTGGTTCTGCTCATTTCATTCTTCATTAGTTTATAAGTCTTCAACATTGTTCATTTTTATAATACTGATGTTGTAACAAATTATTCTTCCAGTTCTACTTTCTTCAGTCTGCATCACTTCATTTAAGTCTTACCATGTCTCTCTGAAGTCATCTACTTCCTCATGCATTCCGTCACATTCACACACCATACACAACTTATTCAATCATTCCTCAATTGATAAACATCCCTTTAGTTTCCTTTTTTTGCCACCACAAAGAGTTAGTTTCTGTAAATGGATGGATGGATGGATGGATGGATGGATGGATGGATGGATGGATGGACAGATAGATGGATGGATGGAATCCATCCCGTCTAGCTGTCATATGCTGTCAACATATTTTATGTTCTAAAGTCCTTTCCAACTATAATAGTCTAGAATTCTCTGACTTTATACCTAGACCCCATTAATACAAATAATTAATCTCCTGAAGTAGTCACATCTATCTGAATTTGCATTATTTGAAATTATAGAAAATATGGTCACTGATTCCAGCCCAATGGAAATATGCAATATGAATTTGAACACTGCCACCACTGGGGGAGAGTTCATTATTTGCACCAATAGCAGCCTGGCTGTATTATTAAGTGGAAAAGATAGACTGAGACCAGATTGATGGAACTAGAACAGATGGCTTCTCAGGTTCCTTCCACCTCTTGATAGTTTCAGTTCTAAGGTTCCTTCCTACTCTACCATTCGATATGATATGATCTGAGGTCCTTTCCAACTGTAATAATCTAGACCCAGGGTCTATTTCAAATAGAAATGGTCTCTAAACCATACATAAGGCTCTCTGCCTGCATACTGACTTTAAAAACCAAACATTAACACCATCTATGTTCTATTGTATTTTATTTATTTTGTTAATATTTCCCAATTACATTTTAATCTTGTTCAGCCACTCTTGGGGGTGCTGTAACCAGAATGAGGCTGTACATTTGATACCTCTGGTCTAGGATTCTATGACTATTATTAAGTAGAAAAGGCAGACTGGGGCCAGATCACAGAAAGAAAGACTCTTGATTCCATTTAATTCAACAAAAGCTACTTGCTAAGCCCTGGCACATCACTCTATATTGTAAGAGACTATTTCCAAGATGACGTAGTTTAGTACTGTCTCAGTTTAGGTACTTAAATACTGGAAAAGCAATGGAAAGAGCATTTGACCAGGACTTAGAAATCTGAATTCAAATTCTGTCAATGCCAATCACTGACAGTATGACCTTGGGTGAGTCCCTTCCCCTCTCCAAGTCTCAGTCCCATCCTCTGTTAATTAGGAGGAGGGTGATCTCCTGGAAGCTCCCTTCCAGCTTTGACAGTCTCTGAATCTGTAAATCTACCACCGTCTTTATTTACCCAGCCTGTCTTTCACACCCACACCTGCATTCTCAACATCTTTTTTAAAAAAATAGTAAGTTGTAGAGCAAATGTTTCCATGTTCTCAATTCACACCCACGTTCCTTCTCAAAATTTTCCACTCAAAAGAAGCAGCAATTCGGGGTTTCTTTTTATCCTGAACCAATTTAAAATGAAGGTAACTCGGAATGCACTGAATCTTTGTTTCTCTGAGAGTTTCTAATTGCAAACAGGAAGGTTTCCCATCACTCAAGCAATGGTAACAGTGAACTCTGCCAAGGCTCCAGTGTTTCAAAGACTTGTGCCTGTACACAGGAAAACCTTAGGG